TCCATGTCAGAGAAACATGAAACAAGGCTTTTAAAACGATCAGATGGTCACTTCTTGCCTGTCACCCTGTGACCTTTCCTGCCACTTCCCATTTGCTAATCTTTCTCTTTGCCCCCCAGCAAGGCTTGGAAGGGAAATACTTTACTTGTTAGTGTGGATTACTTCATTTCAGAGCTCTGCCTTAGCTGAGAAGAAGGGGGTACAGCTGCTAGCGCTGTACAGCTGCAAGCACCCATCTAACCCACGCTGTGGAGCACCCACGGGACAACACCATTGTCCGGCCACAGTGCCCATCGGACCTTGTCCGTCATCCCCAGGCAGGGGACCTGGCAGCGGTGCCAGTGGAGCGACCCAGCCACACTGTCCCCTATGCTAGTGGGTGGCCAGAAACTGTGTGTCCCCCCCCGGCTCACGCCCAGAGCCTGTACTCCCCTTCGGTGCCTTCTTCCAATGTCTTCGATCCTACTCACTATGCACGGGATGCCGTGCATGGGTGGATCTGACCTTTAAATCCCAAAGCACCGAATATACCCGCGTGCCTCCTTTATAATGCCGAGATCTTTGCTAACAGGCTTTTTCCTCCCCTTCGAAGAGGGAACTGGAGAGTAACTCCCTGTTGAGGCAGCGCTCAGCGTCTTGCAGAAGTAACGCTCAGCAGAGGTGGGAACTGGAGGCTGAGCGATGTGTCTGGAAGGCACGGGAGCACGTCTACCCCCCACCCTGTTGCTCTTTTTCTTCCCTTTTCACAAAGATAGAGAAAGTGTTGGGGAGGGTCTGTCCAGAGGCCAGGAGGTAGTTCAAATGCTTCTTCCTGGTGTCCCGATTTTCCATACAATCCTTGCCCATCCCCTGTCTGTGGGAGGATTGTTCTCCAAGTGCAATATCATCATCTTTACTTAGGTTGGTGGTATTGTACCAGTGTCCTAAGCGGGCTGAGGGCGAGGTCCGAGGGAGGGCTGTGGTATATCTGTAGTGGATGGGAAGCAACACCAGGGCAAGGCGGGCAGCACCCCTCTCCCCAGGGCCGAGCACACCCTATACAGGATGAGTGGCTGAATACCCCAGGCAAGCCTGTGGGGTGGTGGAGGCAGACACCCCACCAGGCCAGAGAGGGAAGGGGAGGAAAAGCCCCGTCTTTACCCCCCAGCTGCCCAACACAAGGCCAGAGGAGCACAAGCAGTGTGATTTCTCACCAGGCTTCCCCAGGCACATCCCAGGACCTCTAAAAGAAATTTATGTCTCTGATTTAATTCAGCCGAGTTAAATGAATATGATTAAAAATTCTTGTTAAATGTCAGGCTGATTTGTGGGAACTGAGATTAGTGGGCCACGTGGCAACTTAGTGGGAAAGCAACAGCTGATATACTTAGATTTGAGTGCCAGTCATTTCATAGCATATCCATATGAGGAGTAGGGCAGGAAGAAGAGAAACCAACCTCACCCGTGTAGAAAAGTAGTAGTTTAACTTGCTAAAAAACATGTTTCTAGCACAGGATAAGGTGATCAGTGCCAGATGAATTTTATAGTGCAAGCTCTGTGTCCACTGGGAATAGACTGTATCAAAATAAACATGTGCAGCCTTTCTTCTGGAGAGTCCCTGGAGCGAGCTGGCACTCTGCCTAAATTACTTCTGTCCCGAGCAACTATTCATTGTATGAATGAATGTGGGGGGGATGTTTGTGCTATAATTCTCCATCTGATAACTAAGCCAGGAGAACATGGTTAACAGTTTTAGCCAGTCTTTTGTTTCCAAAATGCCACTCTTCCCCGCTTATGGGTATGCGTCTTTCTGTGTGTCTGTCTGAGTACCGCCCTGATGGAAGTACATGAGCTTTCTCCTCCTTATTCCAGGTGGTTCCCATCTTTTTGAGTGATAGTCTCTTCACTCTGTGTCGATAATGATGATATTAATGAAGCTCCAAATGTAACTGTCACTATTAAATACTGCATCAACAGGAGTTACATCATGTGGTGGTGTTACCCATAGGTTTCCAAATTCTCTTTGTTAGCATGAAAGGATTGTTCAAATTTCATGAAATCCTTGTGCTACTTGTTTTTTTATGTCACCTCTTTGCAGGGGAACCATGGCACAGAGCCATGGTGTTTACTGCCTGCCTCCGTCAATGCAATGAGCCAGAATTGCCTCCTAAACCAGGCACGGACGGGGATGGGAGAGTAGATTTCCAGTTTGCTGTTTGGGACCCTCCCAGCTGAGGGACTGAGAGGATAACATAAAGCAAGCAGGTTGCACTAAGCACATACCTAAGCTCCATGCCATGGGTTTCTCCTCCAGGTGTAAGCCTCAGGAGAGGGTTGGCAGTACCAGTTCACAGCAGTTGTATACTCTGTTGTATATATTTTATTGAGAACAGTTTTAATTTCATATGCTACATATGTACTGGCAAATGCTGTTAGCAATGCTTACGATGCTCTGGAGATTTTGCCGTGTGAGCAAACAGAAGCAAAATGACAATTAGATATTGTCTAACACTAGCAACAGCACAGCAGGTCCAGAATTTCATGTCAGTCAGTGAGAAACCTTGTTTACTGGAAGCTGGCCATGAATTGCTTTACAGAGCTAGCCAAATCCTTGGCAGAACAGACCAGTTAGACCTGTTGCTCTCTCATAAGGGTAGAGGCTTCCCAGCAGTATAATTCCTTGATGGTTTATAAGGCACAGCTGTAGGAAGCCCCTTTCCATTAGGTACATTGTGCCTCTCCAAACCAGCCAGGGCTGAGCAGCACTGATGCTGACTGCCCCATCCACCCCCATCCTTCCTCAGAGCCACCCAGAGCTCTCGTCCCCATATTCCTGCTTTCTACTGGGAATCTGTTACCACCAGAGGAGGCCATGGTGCAGCAGAGGAATACCTTCAGGGATTCAGAGAAAGCGACTTCTTCTGCTGACACTGCCCTATTTTGCTTGTCATACCCTAGATTCAACAAGGGTGCATGCAACAGAGCATTTTGAGCAAAGGTCTAGCAAAGAAAGACAGCGAAATCCTAAATGCTGACCCTTGCCATATTAATGATGCCTTCTTTATTCTTTAGTAACATAGGTGAACATTTTGGTTGCAATAAGTGAGCAAATAACAACAAAACCCACTGAATTTTGTCACTACATTTTAGCCTGAATTTTTTGAAAACACACTTGTTGGGCTAGCAGTCTGATTCTGGGACTGGGCAAATAACTACCTAAAGTATTTGTAAAACACTGATAAATAAAATTTTACTGAGTCTATAGATTTTCCTAGTCTAAAATATGGATTGTGATATGGCTGACTTGGCTGTTTTGCAAAGCCAAATAAATATCTGAAAAAACATCTAAAAACTACATGGTATTATTTGTTATTTTGTTCTGTACAATATAATTCAGCATCTTAAATTTGCCAGTTATGACTAAAAAAGCCAGTCCCTCAGCCTTCATATTTCCTATTTATGCTCCTCCATCACTGAGCTGAAAGCCATGAATCAGTGACCTGTGGCTTTAATTCCTCATTACTCTTTTATTTGATAAAAAATTACAGGGTAGTTTCATGTTCTTAGCTAACTGTTGAGTAATGAGCAGGTAGAATATTGCTGTAAGAGAACTAGTAGCAGAAGGAGGGAATTTATCCACTATTCTTACTACCATTAAGTTTTCACTCCTGTTTTTTTCATAAAATGTTCTTTAAACAGGCAAATTTATGTGTGACTCATATGTGGAAAATACCATGGGCTTAAATAATGCCTAGCAATTAACTTACCTCCCCCCCCCCCCAATTTTATTCATCTCTTACATGTTGAGGACTCATTAAATGAGAAACATTAATTTTTGAAAATGAATGTTATCATTGCCTGTCATTACACCACTGCTTTGAAAATGATGCTTTGGCAATATCCAGGGTTTGCAGCGGCATTGTGCTGCCGGTTCGGAAAATATTTGTGTGGGATGCAGCAGCACGCGGCTTTTGTTCTTGACATGGGCGCGAGGTGCCATGAGAGTCTGCAGCAGCACAGGGCTTCCTCCACGGGCTGAAGCAGTTACAGCTCAAGCATCGCTTTCTCACAAAGCCACGGAGCAAAGGAGGGTGGGCAGTGAGCTGGCGACAAGTGTTTCTGAGGATCCCAGCCTTCAGTTGGGCTGCTCTTGCATTTTTCCCTTCTCCTTGCCTACACAAATTTACTTAATTTACCCAGTTTACCCCCTTTTACTCTATGGTTTTATGAACACATCTTGTGCTCAGAGTACTTTCTCCTTGCAGCTCAAACTGCCAGAGCAGTTGGACTATAAACCTGATGACAGGTCACAACATTTTGGTGAAGATTAGCAAAAAGAGTGACGGGGATGGTGCAGTCCCCATGTTCGGTGCCAGCAGGGCCAGGCAGATGGTCTGTCTGGGCTATGGGAAGGTTTTTTCACAGTGCAGCTTAGGCAGTGGGGTTTATAAGGACACTTGAATTTGGGGTGTAGTTCAGTAGAGTTACTACTGTCTCTTTTGGCTTTGGGTCAGGGCCCACAGAGGAGGATGAAGAGCCTCCCGGTAGGAAGCGGCATCTGAGAAGTCGGAGGCATCGGTGATGCTGGCTCTTGCACTGGGGATGGCTTTGGGGGGAACGTGGGGGTGCTGAAAATGCCTTTTCAACTTGGGCAGACCACAGGGTTCATCCAGCCTGCAAGTTTGCAGAGAGTAACCTCCACACCAAAAAATCCCCCAAGAAGTGGCTGGTTTTGTACTGTGCTGGCACACCACGTTGTGCCTGGGAGCCTTGATCCCTGGCTGGAGCCCCTAAGGCTAGTGTGACGCTCAGGGATCGCATTATCCACAATGGATGTTTCCTAAAATCAAGGACTGTGGCATAAAGCACTGCTGACACATTTATCTGACCTGGATATCATCACTCTGTTATTAAAATGAAATAGAGCAACTTTGAGATTAACCTGCAAGTAGAGCTAACAAAATGACAATTCATAATGATTCTTGCATTCCTTCAACAGAAAAACCTGCTTAGACAATCTAATGGATGAAGATGAGAAAGACAGGGCAAAGAGGTGAGCACCTTTTCTTTTATAACTCTCTGTTTAACTTGTGGTGAGCTTGATACTGTTTGTTGCTGCAGAAGCTGTTTTACCCATAATCAATTAATCAAAGAGAGAGAGAGTAAAATACAGCCAAGCACAACTTGAAAAACTGCCATCTCACAGATTCCTATTCTTGGCTACACTGTAAGAAGAAAATAATGTAGCAATGTTTCCTGTGGAAAATGTCAAAAAAGCCAAGGCATTGATCATTTTCTTCGTGTTACTGCAGAACATGAGAACTGAAGAACCAACAATGCACTCCTGCCACTATAAATACATCACCTGAGCTTCCCGAGTGTATTAAAATGTGGGGTTTTTACAAAAAACATTTTGCGAAAGGAAAAAGTGGGGGGTTTCCCCCTTATGATGGTCATATATAGTCAGCAATGCCTATCTCACAGTAATGAAAACACCCAGAAGTTCCCTTCAGAGCAGAGAAAGACCACGAAAAGTGCTGTGTCAGCCCTAAACTGGCACAAACCCTTATTCACGTACATTCTGCACTCCCTCATCAAGTCCCGGTTGGCGGGAAATTGTTCTGAATGCTTTCTGGGGAGGGAAAGGGTGTGTTTCAAGGCAGAAGACCCGTGGCAATAAAACTCTTAATAACTGTCAGATCTGACTGGCATCTGCAGAAAAGCTGTTTGGAAGCATTTGAGGCTTTTTTTTTTCTGGACGCGTTACCAATACAGTTTAATTGCTTTAGAGGGAGCCGTGGGTTACCCGCATTTTTCCCCTTGGTTCCCTCTAATGAGAGTATTTCCAGTCCAGGCACAAGTAGTTGATCCAGTTTCATCTCTTTTGATTCCTTCTCCGCTTCTTTCCTCCCTGCAGCTTTTTCTCACCAATATAGGTCAGCGCGGGCTGCAGCCGAGCTCCGCCGTTCCCCTTTGCTCCCTCCTCTAAAGGTGCGCGCTGGGGCCGCGGAAGGCCGGCCTTTCCTACCGGGAGCCAAGCGCTGACCTAATGGCCTCCCCTCAGGCCCGTGAGGGGGGATCCGCGGAGGCCAGGGGCCCGCCATGCCCCCCGAGCCGCCCCCCGAGCCGCTCTTCATGGGGCCGGGGGGCTTCGGGCCCGGGAGAGGGCCGACACGGGGTACGGCTCTGCCCAGCCGTCTCTCAACCGGGCAGGCCCCTGGGGCCGGGGGAGGAGGTGGGCTCAGGGAAGGGATGCCTCCCGCCGCCATGTCGTGAAGAGATGGCTTCGTCGGGGAGGGCGTAGCTCAGGGAGAGGTGTCCCGCTTCCCCAGAGCCCCGCGATCGGGGAAGGGGGGAGCAGGGCAAGCGAGCCCACCTCACGTCGCCGCTTCGCACGCTGGCGGCCTGGTTATCTTCAAGATATTTGTGTGCTAATTGCTCAAAAAGAAAAAAAAAACCACAACCCAACGCATTAAACGAATGCTTGTAGGACAAAAATAGGATAACACGTATCCTCGCTATCAGCGATTGTCATCGCCATCTGGTATGGTTTTCGTGCCGTTTGTTCCTGGAGGGAATTTTTGTCAAACCCTGGGGCAGGCCTCTATCAAGGTGGGTAAAAAAAATGGTAACTTTGAAAATGAGAAAAGGAAATCGCTTCTTTAAATTGCAATTTAAGTACATTTTGCTCTTTAGAAATAAAGCCAAATTGAAATTAAGTTTGAAATCATGAGAGGCTTCATGGAAGTCTAAAGTTACTGCGGTATACTAAAACCATTCAGATTCATTTAAAAGCTACAGGTTTTCTTCCAAAACTTTAAAGAGAGTCAAAGCTGGGAGAAGCCACTGCCTGAACGTTTTGCTGTTGTGTCTTGAAAACCGAGGACTTCTCATCTGTCAGGAAACACTTTCTTTGGGTTTTTTTTTCTATTCGGTGTAAGAACCAGGTTCCTCAGTGCTGAGAAATGCAAGAGGGGATAAAAAAAGCCAAGAAAATTGGTCTTTTCTTTCATTTTCTGTGTTAAAAGTAGGTGAGACTGGAAATTTCTGGATCTAACTCTTTGGGGATGGACCCAAGCCAGGAGCCGGGTTTCTCAGGTTACAGACATAGTTGCACACCATTTACTATCTGCTGCAATTTATTAGGTAAATACAGGTTGTATTATACAGACATGAGAAGTGGATCCATCCTCTCCCAAGGAGAGGAACCTGCCCTCCCACCCCTGCGCCAAGTGTTCAGTACTTGGCCAAGATGTATAGCTTTTACTTCAGGACACTGGTTATTTTGAGCCCCATTCTGCATCCTCTGACTGCCTAAGGCACTACTTCACTCAAAAGACCTGAGGACTAAAATATGGATATGATGGCACCACACTTGGGAGCATCGAAGACCTCTTTGAGGTCTTCTGATCTTCTGGAGATCAGAAACCATCATTTCATTTTGAAGTCTTTGATGCTAGACAAGGCTTACTTTGTTTTATAGATTTATTAATTTTAAACAAAAAGCATGCTTTGTGCACTTTTCTCTAACTTCTTTTCTTTTAGCTTGCTTTAATAGTAAATTATTTTAAAATAATTTCTTTGCAATTCAATTGAATTCCAAATTGCAGAAAAAACCGGCTTGAAGTGAACCATAAGAAAGTGCTTAATAGATAAGGACTACCACCTGCCATTTTCCACTCCAATAAAAAGTAAATTTAAGAATCTGAATGAAGGTATGTGGTACAGTTACTTGCTTTGATGCATGTATCGTGGATCCCACTGGACAGCAAAAAGAAATATGAAATTTAGTGTAAAGCTTCATTTCATTGTAAATCAGCAAGATGTCATGGCTACTAGTCAGCAAGTATCAGTCTCTCTTTAAGACAATAAGTAGCAACTATATAAGAGAATGAAAATGGCTATTTAGAACATGTTTTAAATGGGTGATTTTGATCATTCTGAATTCAAGCTGTCCTGCATTGCCTTTAGCTGTATTCACTAAAAATCCGGATTTTATTCATACTATGTCTCCTTCTTCCCCCTGGATATACTGTGGTTTTTTGGAGTAGCAATGAGGGAGGAGAACTGGGACGAATAGTATGGAATTAAGACAGAGACTGTTTTGGCTTACTATAAATGATATGCCCTAGCAGTGAAGTAAGCAAGGCTAGGGAATAATCTTCCAAGGGAAGTGATGAAAACTGCATTATTTAAGATATTTACAACTGGACTGAACAAAGCATTTACAACTGTGCAGGGATAGTTTAGATGACCTAATTGTGGTTTTTTTCCCATTTTTTCTCCCTTTTTAAGATTTTACAGTGATCATCGATCCAGATCTTGGTAGAGTTATTTCCACTAGAGGAGTTTTTATATTTCCTTTGTGAATAAAATGTCAAGTGTTAAAAATAGATTCTTTATATTTCTGTCAAGGCATCTTTATTTTTTTGGAAAAAGCAACACTTTCCCTATAGACGGTTGGTGTTTTATTTTATTTTCAGGGCGATCAAGACCTTTTGAGCTTAAAATGAACTGAGGATTGAATTATGAGAAAGTAAAATGTTGATGTTCTTAATGTCCCCTTGAACTGTACAGAAATAGGATAAGGCTGGAGCTTTTCACATCTTGTTCTGACAGCCTTTTGCACTGTAATAAGAACAGGCTGAAATCAGTCAGGCAGTATCCACCCAATCTCTTGTGTTCAAAGCTGTAAAAAAATCAAGTGTTGGCTTCTATCCAGTATATCTCCAAGTGCGTTCAGGGTTGAGAGCAAGACAAACAAAAATTACCCCTCTGTCAGTAGTAACATCCAGAAGCCTCCACAGTGATTTCTCTGCTAAAAATGTTTACTGCCATCCTGGTCCTTGGGGGGGAATGTAGATGCTGGGCTAAATTTTGCTCTGATTTTCAGCAGTGTGCATCCAGAGCTGCTTATGAGGTACAGCAGAGTTATCTGGGACCAAGAAACTCAGAGTGAGAACCGGCCTCTTGGCTTTTTTTTCCTGTCTACATGTAACCAGATTTTTAGATCTTTATGTAATTAACAGGGCAAATCTTGTCTGCTTGAGGACCTTTCAGAAGAACAAACAAACCTTATTTATTTCTATTATATTTATTATATTTGTTATTTGTTTATTTTTTAAAAAAAGAATTATTATTATTTTATATTTATTTCTATTTTTACATGGCTACAGAAGTCTGGGTGATATCCTCCAAGTAGAATGATTGTTATCTTCATGGGAACAATTCAGAAAATACTTGCTCATGTATAGGTTGACATATAATTTAAAAAAAAAAATAAAGTGCACATGCAGCAGCAGAAGCTGGGTCTCTCTGAGGAGTCTGCAGGCTAAACAGACAAGACTGGCGAAGAAAGCTGAAGAGTCCCCATTTTACACCTAAAGAGCCAGGGCACCGTGACCTTAAGTGATTTGCTAGTGGCACACAGAGCTTGGGGGCAAGCAGGGGACCCCTGCTAGCACTTCTGAGTCGCCAGGTCTGGGAACACACCTCAGCCTCAGAGCTGGTCCATGCTGGCATGAGTCCTTCTGATGCCCTCCCTCCTGCTTGCCCTTGTCACCTTGGAAAGGAGACTGAGCTAGGTGGCATAGGCACTAGATGGGAGCTGCAGCAACCTCTGCTTGGGTCCCTGATCTTAATGACTGGAAGACAACAGCCCGATTCCTCTCGGTAAGCCAGCTTGGAGGTAGCCAGAGGACCTGTGACCAAAGCAAGCAGGTCCCTCTAGCTGGGCCCAGCTCCAGTGCAATGGCTGAGCTGCAGTACTGGCATCCCTGTCTCCTGTTAAGGCTGGACAGATGGGTATGACCCACAGTTTCACTAGTTCCCTCTCTTTTCCTTTATGGACAATTTTATTGTTGTCACCATATTGCTATTTCTTTTTGCTCTGAGTGCCTTCTCAGAGCCTGCGTGAACTTTGAAGGTCCTGCGCATGCCTAGGAGACAGACAGAGCTCCTTCACCTACAGGCTTAATGCCGACCTCATAGGCTCGACTGGAGTGTCTAGAGGCAGCACAGAGGGGCAAGCAGAGCCTCCATCTCCCCGCTGGACTCTAAGAGGGGCCTAAAGATGAGAGCAGAAGGGGGGAACAGTCACCTCCTGCTTGTCTCTGCAGCTTTGCTGGAGGCCAGTGTCAATCTTCACATGCTGAGGCACACAGCAAGTTAATTTCCATGTGTATACACTGCAAAGAGGAGGTACATGATGATTTTTCCTCTTGGTCTGCTCATCCTTTTTTTTTAACCCTGTCTACAGGGCTTCACGTAACAAGTCTGAGAAGAAGAGGCGAGATCAGTTCAATGTTCTCATCAAAGAGCTCAGCTCCATGCTTCCAGGCAACACCCGCAAAATGGACAAAACTACTGTGCTGGAAAAAGTCATTGGCTTTCTGCAGAAACACAATGGTAAGATTTACTGCAGCTCTTCATGCACTTGCCAGACGGTTACTACAATATCCTATTTCCTTCAGTGATTACCAGAATGGCTCAAGGGGTCCATAAGTGCCAACATAAGGTTTTTTTTTTTTCTATCTCATCAAAATATCATTTGCAGACACTGTGCTGCCCAAATCCATCTCCTTGGCTGCTCTTTATCTGAGGATGACTCCCAACCTGCTAGAGAAGGGGGCAAATGTCAGGAACTGAGGGAAGGTGACAGCAGTGCCCTGCAGCACATGTGACGAGGGATGCTTTGAACAAGAGCGATTTGGGGCCAGAGGGAAGATTCCCTTCCTTGAAATTTGCAATATTCCCTGCAGAAAAAGGCAGGGAAGCAATCTGTTCAGCCCCCTGCTCCTCAGTGGACTGTGTAGGACTCGATTTTCCACAGTGAGCAGAAAACTCAGACCAGAAAAGGCCTGTTGATGGTGAGAGCACAGCAAGAGTTGCGGATGGTACGGTATTGCTGTGGGTTAACCCCGACAGCTCAGCCCCACACAGCCGCTCGCTCAGTCCCCCCAGCAGGATGGGGGAGAGAATTGGACGGGTAAAAGTAAGAAAACTTGTGGATTGAGATAAAGACAGTTTAATAAGTAAAGCAAAGCAGAACAAGGAATTCATTCCCCACTTCCCATGGGCAGGCAGGTGTTCAGCCATCTCCAGGACAGCAGGGCTCCAGCACGCCTAATGGGGACTTGGGAAGACAAATGCCATCACTCTGAACATTCCCCCTTCCTTCTTCTTCCCCCAGCTTTATATGCTGAGCATGACATGATATGGTCTGGGACATCCCTTGGGTCAGTTGGGGTCAGCTGTCCCGGCTGTGTCCCCTCCCAACTCCTTGTGCCCCCCCAGCCTGCTCGCTGGTGGGGTGGGGGGAGAAGCAGAAAAGCCCTTGGCTCTGTGTGAGCACTGCTCAGCAATAGCTAAAACATCCCTGTGTTATCAACGCTGTTTCCAGCACAAATCCAAAACAGAGCCCCATACCAGCTACTGTGAAGAAAATTAACTCTATCCCAGCCAAAACCAGCGCAGGCTCCAATTTTTGAAGTCACTTTCAGCAAATTGCATCCACAGATAGCTGGCATGCTTCACCCCATTTGCACAAGCAGAAGCTACATCACATTTGCACAGCGTGCAGTTGCAATAGTAAAGTTCAGCCTCGGAAAGCCAGGAGTTTATTTTTTAAAATGCACACAGCGGTGACAGTTAAGGCCCTTAGACATGTGTCCTCACAGAGGGCAGAGGAGATTTCTGACCCTGCTGATCTAGTCTGGTTGGTCTAGTTTCTAGTCGATGAGAGGAACATGCACTGTGGGGTCCCTGACGCATGGACATCTGCCAGCAGCAGACAATTGAAACGCTTCTCCCTTATAAATCAGGGCACTGATTTAAAAGGGGGCTCTCTTGCTCTCCCCCTGTGAGGAAGAGACTTCAGTGGGTGACTGTGGGGAACGTCCCTGGTCCCAGAAAGCAGAAAGAGCTCTCGCAAGCTGATGCACTGCATTACCTGCCTCACTTTGCTCATCCAGTACCTCCTGCCTGCGCTGCCTGGAGAACTCTGGGTGAAAAGGAAAAGACCATAAAAACTCTTATATCATGACCCCCAATATAATGGAGTCACAAATGTCAGGCTTATTGAGGAAATAATTATAGTGGTTCTGTTGTTAGAGCATGGTTTCTCCTTAAATGAATCTTTGCCACAGACAAGATGATTTCATGCAGGAGGGCATGACTAGGACATCTCAAAGTTTAATAATTGTATATACCTATTAAAAAATGACAGTAATAACATATCTTTTTTTCTTTTTAGCTGCCCAAGGCAGAGTAAAGGAGGATGTGAATATGCTCAATTATAAAGCCAAGCAAAGAACAGTCACATGAGATTTGAATAAGTGTAGATAAGTGTAGCTGATAGCCCAAATAATTTACTCCAAAAGGCACTTCATTTCTGGAAGATGAACTAGGTAAAAGAAATCTAACAGTCACAAATCCTTCCACAGCAATTGGGTCAAACTGTGACTGGTTTTTGTGCACTTGCTAAAAAAAGCAAATGTTACCTATTTTTAAACTAGATTAGTAGTCACACAATATAATACAAAGCATCAGCATTTAAAAAATGTTGATTATCTTCAGCATACTTTGGATCTTGTTTATTCAATCGTATTTCCCTTTCATTTAGTAGGCTAAACCAAGATTTTAGTCATAATGGAGGAGGAGGTCAATTTTCAGATTTTTTTCTTCATAAACAGCCTCCTTCTTCATAATCCACGGAATCTCCCAAATCTCAAGTAATTCTTCTAACAGTTGCTGTTTCATGTATATCAGCTTCTCCAAGCGACAGATCTGCTGAAAGTATCCTATATTCTGAAACCATATAACAAAAATCTGACGAGCTGATCTCTCTGTTTCCTTAATCTGGTTTTGAAACCTCTGTGTAAGACCATGGGGGCTGGGGAGAGCCACGGTGCTATCAGTGAGAGCCCCCAGCAATGCAGAAAGCGAGTCAAAGAAGCCGGTAGAAGCAGACAGCTGCACCTCCACTAACAAAGCCTGAACGGAGGCTTTGATTTCTTTTTAGGTGACAATATGCACAGGCACTGGTATAAATTTACTGTCTTTAATATCATTTAGCCATTTGCATTTCTCTGGCCAGTTTGCCTATGTGGTCCGAATAGGGAGCATTGGGTATTACATGCTCTGGAAGTGTTAATCAATAGGATTAATTAGCAGGAGGCGCTGAAAGGAGAAGACAGGCTGCGCTCAGCATCCCCTCACTACTAGAGCTGAATGAGGGAGCACTCAGACAAGCGGAGTGAGCTGTGAAAAAAACCAGCTCAAGTGTCTCTAAATTGTAAGATCTGTCCTCCATAACCCTGTCTGACTCAGGTAGAGCTCATGTGAGTGGCTGTTTTTTGAAGGAAACGGTTCACCATGGTGCATCCAGCTCCCCCGCTCTGGTCCCCCGTTTCAGTGCGAAGCTGTGACTTGTTACCCTGGTGCCTGCACCCCTCCATGGAAAGTCCTCGGGCAGTGAGGATCCTCAGGCTGCCGTGGGGCCAGGACTGGCCAACAGTGGAGCAAAACCCCACTGGTGTCTCATGGGTGGACAGCAAAGGAGACCCTCCCCTCTGGATAGGATTTGGGATGAGGCGCTGGTGCTCTGTTCCCTGTCGTGGGCTGCCCTACACTGTGGGGTTGGCGGTAGGCAGGGAGAGAGTGCGGGCAGCAGCACCAGTGTAAGGCTGCTGCAAATGCTCCTGTTTTGCTCACGGTTTGGAGAACAGAGCAATAGCTCTGCTCTTTGGGGTCACGGCCCTTTGGGACTCCTCCGAAGGAGTTTTCTTGCTGCTCCCTAGTTGGCACAGAAGCTGTAGGCTGAACCCTAGCACTCTGGCATCCTAAGGTTGAAGCTGTAAACTGTAAATATCAATTTGACACGTGCTAATCCTTGCCTTGATTTTAATTTCATGCAAAGTGGTTTTATCTTTTGATCAATACCCAAGTAATGCTGCTTGAGGCCAATGGCTATGTGAATACCGGCTCCCACTGAAGTCACTTCAAGCTGAGCTGAGTAAAAAATGAGGAAAACATTTCAGGATCAGGCCCAGTTTAGATAGTCATTACTGTCTCTGTATGCAAAACCCATGGCTGAAAGCTGCAATTTTTTAATATAAAGGTGATTTCTATCTTTTCATAGCAACTCATATGTAGTCTTGCAAGATACAAGTTTCTTTGAATTTAAAAAATTGAAATGTTTTATTTGTCTAGAAGTCTCAGCACAGACGGAGATTTCTGAAATTCAGCAGGACTGGAAGCCTTCATTTCTCAGCAACGAAGAATTCACCCAGCTGATGTTGGAGGTGAATATGCATATATACCTTTCCTAATTTTGTCTAGCAGTCATGGAAGTGCCCATGCGTCTAGATTAAAATGCCATCTGCAGTTCCGAAAGAGGAGGTTTCAGGTACTGCTGTATTTGACCATCAAGCAGAGCTGTCACTGGGACAAGACATTAGAGTCCCCACATGTTACTTTTCACTCTCAATGGTACCGTTGCACTGTGCTGCTGCAGCCTGCAAAGCTGCACAGGAACTCCCAAGAAATGCAATCCAGGGGAGAGATTCAAACCACAGGTTACATTTTATTTTTACAAACAGAGGTGAGGAAAAGGGCATGTGGCAGTTTTTCTCCTGTTCTTGGAAGGCATTATTATTACCTAATATTTATGCAAGACTAGCATCTAAAAAGCAACAGTGTCGTGTCGCTGTAGTGCTAGGTGCTGTACAAGCAACTAAAACCTGACAGCTCCTCTTGATTTGACACAGTTAATACTTCCACTCTAATGATTTTCAAGACCCTTATCAAACACTTTTTATTCTAACAGGGAGCAGGGTTATTTTGCAATGATATTTTTAAAATTACCTTTAAATTATACCATACGTGCTTTTAACACTAGCTGGGATTTGAAGGGGGATGACTCAATGGCGTTTATGTAGGTTCGAGATGAAATGCAAATGAGCTGCTAAAAGGTATTTTTCTCTCTCAGTAACAGCTAGAACCTTCTTTAGCAAGGATCTTCTCCCATACTAATCACATGGAGGTTGCATGGCCCCACAGTGTCCTTTGAGAACAAGCTTCTCCTGCTCCCACAGATGATGTGAATGTGGGTCATGATCCAGGCTCTGGCGGCGGGCAGGGTGGGATGCTGGGGAGAAGCTTGACCCACCAACAGGTGACAACAAAACCGGGGCACGTTGCTGGCTCCCAGGGGCTGGCGGTCCCTCGGCCATTGCATTTTGTTGTGATGAGACTCCCCTGGTCCAGTGTTATGAGATGCTTTGCTCCCATTGCACTGACGACCACCCATTCCCACCTCAGTGCGCAGGAACTTAATGTACATAACTCCTTCAGTCTGCACTGAAATATTTCCCTCAGACAGCAATAAATTGGCAGTTGTCTTGACTGGCCGGGCCTTTGTTGATTCTACTTGTATGCCACACAATTTTAGATTAAAACAATTGCTTTTAGTTTCCCAGCTTATAAATCACCTTCTTGCTACTGTGATTTTCCATGCCCTTCAAGATAACATTGGGTATTGGGATGTCCTGTTGAGCCAGCTGTTCATCATTCTCTGCTTTTTTTGCCTTTCTACTAATCTTATTTATTAACATTTGGACAAGACTGCTTGAAGTTTTTCCCATCCTGTTATTAAAAGATGGGAAGGGTTTTTTCAAGCACTGATTCAAAAGAATCAGAACATAATTGACTGTGGTAATACATCAGCTTTCCTGAAAATGGCCTTTTCTTACCCCATTGAAAAGGCTGTCATCAAATTGCATAAGAGTAGGCATTAGGCTCTGTTTGTCCATCTAGGACTGCTGCAGTAGTGAAATCTTTGAAAAGGGCTATGCCCTCTTAATGTTGGAAGGACCAGTTGTAAGTAAATAAAAATAGAATTATGTATGCATACATTAACTTGATTTTACCACAAAATTCTGATGTGAGTCACTTTGTATAATCTGCATTGGATATGAAATAAAGACTTGATTTAAAAAAAAACCAACAACCTTCACCATAGTAACATGCACAATCCAGCTGCCTTGTAAAATCACTGCTCTCTTCCACGGGTTAACAGCTATCAAGCTTTTTTAGAAAACAGCTTGAATGTACTACACTAAAGAAAAACATATTCTCTGCACTTAGATTAACAAAATCAAACTAACTATAGCAGCTGGAGGGTTTTCAGAGATGCTAAACACACGCTTTTCTACTGGGTTATAAGTTATTGACCTGCTTTTCAAAGGATTGTAGCACCAGCAGATTCCCATTGACTTAAATAGTTGTGGGTGCTCAGCATTCTCTGGAAAAAGGAACATATGTTTGTGTCTTTATTCAAGGCTTTGTGTTTTCCTTTTTTTTTGAAAAACAATTAGCATTTTCCAGTGTTCTCAGAATTCTTTCCCTTATTGAAGTCAGCAGGGGAGAAGGAAGTGCTGTGGCTCACAGGATCAACTGCTATTCTGGCTTGAAGGCACGCCTGGGTTTGCAGTAAGGTCTTGAAACACCCTGGCACCCTGATCAGGCTCTTTGCAGTACACCTGTCTCCTGAACAGGTATTGCCTCTGGAGTATAGTCGAACTCTGCTCTGCTTCAGTCCTGCTTGCAGTGTCCGTACTGCTCAAACGCTGAGGGCAGCACTGACTCCAGATCACCAGGGAACTCACAGAAAGGACCCAAACCTGCTCCATTTGCAGGCACTGGGAGCTTCACCAGTGTCTCCTTAATTACAACAGGAAGGTTTTAATATAGTCTCTGAACACCTACTGTTGAGTCTTAATTTTGGGGGGGGTTCTGCTTAGAGTAGGTTGCTTTAGGTCTGGAAATCTACCTAGATTTAACTTCGAACAACATTTAGCTCAAAACTTTGCATCTCAGACTGAAGGAGAAACTAATTTTGAAGGTGAAGTTGCTCCTGTGCAGAGGATGGGGATAAGGTGACATTCCCCTTCAGTCCTAAGAGTGAAGGGTCTTCCCGCAAGGTGGGACTGAAGTGAGGAAGAAACTCTGCAGAAGGGTGAATTTCTCTTGGAATGAGTAATCTAATACCATGACCTTTAAAATAAATCACTCAATTAAAACTCAGGCTAAGGATTATTTGATCATTTGCATTGCTTTTACTTACATGAAAGCCCAGTAATATACAACGTTACATTAATACAAACTGAGATTTATGGGGTTTGCAGAGAAGTACCATTTTGAGATAGGACCGCATCCTTTCATCGTCCTTTGATATTTACACAGAGCTCAAATGTTCATTTTAATAACTTCCAAGGGATCCAGTCTTAGTCATTTTGCATTATTAAAATGTGTGATTAATTTAAAAACTGAGACATGAAATGTTCCTGTGAGCCCTTTGTTGCTTCAATAGTAGGTTTTACTAGACTACAAAGAGTGTTGTAAAAGTTAAATCAGACTGTAAAATCAGAGAATTACTGTTCTGCAACTTGAGATAACGCTCCTACAACGCGATAACAATACGGTGCTGAAGTCAAACTGTTTTGATCAACACTCTATGAGCTGTCCTGTTTACACCACTCATTCCCATTAAAGCACTCTCCACTTGTCTGTTTTCCTTAGGCATTAGATGGCTTCATTATAGCAGTAACCACAGGTGGAAGCATCATCTATGTGTCTGACAGCATCACACCTCTTCTAGGGCATTTACCGGTGAGTAATTCTGGCACTGGCTTTTCTACTACACATTGTCAGATCAGGCCCTACATTTTTAGAAACAGATATAAAAGGGTGGTGGGGGGTGGTGTTTTCCTGAAAATGCGGTGAGGGGTTTTGTCACTGTGTTATGCTGGCCACTGCTGTTGATCAGCTCTGTTCTCTCTCTGTCTGGTTCATACCCTTCAGGTTTTTGTTGCTATGAGGCACTTCGGCTTGAATGGAAAAAGCTCTGCAGGAATACTCTGGCCAGGGGAGGGACAGGGTGACCTGGTTGATCTTTTCCATCTCTGATTTCTAAGCTAGCAGAGAATAGCACCGGTGCCGCTAGCAGCCCGGCGAGGAGCTTGTTAAAGGCCTTATCCTGCTCCCAGGGAAGTAAAGGACAAAACCCCCACTGAATTCGGGGGAGTAGGAGTTAGCCAGTGGCTGCTGCCAAGCTGTCCCCGCAGCTCAGCTGTGCTTTCCCAAAGGGAGCGCACCCAGCTCCCGGGAGGTGCTGGTGGAGCCGATGCTCGGCGCTCGGGTCTGGCACATGGGGCTTGTTTTATCTGTGGGCTGCTGGGTCTTGCTGTAGGAGACACTCCTGCGTGCTTTGGCTTGGGCTGGAGGAACAGGGGAGAGGGACTGCTCTGAACCCTGCTCCGGTTGCTAAGGCTGCTCTAGGAGAAATGGCACAATAATTAAGGATTAATCCTCACATTCATTTTTAGTAGCTTGGTCTCAAATAAATACACACCCAGGAGAAAAAAAAAAGCTGCCAAATCATTATTATACCACCCGCCCGCCATGTTCTTAGGAAAATTGCAACTCTTTTTCTCTCATTTACTTTTTCACCAAATACGTGTCATGTTTTCCACCCAGACAAATGTATTTCACACACACTGCCTTGCTGTAATATGAACAAAAATTATTTTCTTCTGAGACGAAAGGAACTTGATGAAAGGCGGCAGCTCCTGGTAAATGCAAGAATATTGCTATGCAACAACAGATTGAACTGAATCTATCTATTTCAGTGTTCTTTAATCCTCAACAGTTGAGAAAACCAGTAGTTGACTATTTTCTGACATTTGCCTTCACTTCAAAGACAGAGAGCGCCCTGTCCTGTATGCAGGCTGTTGGGTCTTCATAGACTTACTGATTTCCATGGAATTTCCTTGTCTTTCATGGTTTGGGGGTTTCAGTGCTATCCCTTCCAAATACTGATTCTTAGTGGAGACAGTAGATCAACTGCAGGAATATATTGCTCTTCAGGAAGACACATTTCAGACCCTCTGCCTAAAACCTTAAGCCCTGACTGAACATGGATGGATTCAGGTTCATAATTTCTGAGTTGGACCATCAGAGACTTAATTGGTTTTCCTTCCCAAAGTCATGCCTTGTGTGATAATCTTGCACAGTATCCAGCCCAAAATGAGGACAAAGATGGCCCTTATTTTTTATTTGCACAGAAGCAGCACATAGCAGCCCAAGCCAGGGACCAACCTGCCGGGGCTGGAGGTGGAGCAGGAGTTCCCACAGACCTTCTCAGAGCTGATGGGATCATAATGGTTAACAACTGCCCCACCACCCCACCCATGCGGAGTGACTGGGTGCATCCCAGAGACTGCAACTGAGCAAGCAATAAAGGCTTCTGCTTCCCAAGGTCAGCAAATCACTACGGCCATGGGCAGGGGCCCAGCTGAGTGTGCAGTTAGGTGCACACTGGGCATTTTAGTCCCATGCTGCCCTTTCCAAATGTCTTTTTAAGTTTTAAAACTGATCAGAATGCTATCTGGAAAATCTATATGTGGCTTATTCTGTTTACCTCCAGGATCTATTTGTAAGCTAAATTCAGTCACTGTTTGAGGGACAAAATACCAATTCTTTCTCCTCTGTGACTGCAGGGAAAAAAAAATACTCTCTGAAAGGAAAGCAAAACTGGGCAGAATGCGGAGCAAGGCTCTCTGAGGGCCCCTATCAAGAAATCTGATGTATTTTCTTTCATTAAAATCATGAAAGACTCTGGTGCTGAGAACAAATATATCCAATTCTCTTTAATACAGCTTCCCTAAGTTCCATGGAGCATTTTCAAACACAAACTTCCTCTGTTGTAATTCTAAACAGTTTGTTATTACAATATCTAGAGGCTAATCCTAGGGTCGATTGATGTAAAGAGAGGTTTAGCTCACATGGTAAGATTGACTATAGTTGAAATGAACTCCTGGAAATCTGGTCACAACTTATAGCATTTGCCAGTCAGATGGTACTCTATGACCCCAAGACTAGGCAGTCTCTGGAGGAGGGTCCTCCCTGTCCCTTCTTGCCTGCTTTGCTGAGTGGAACAATTAAACACAGGCAGCAGAGTCACTATTTCCAACCCACAGGAGGAGGAGATGGAGCTTTCTCATGGACGTTGCCTGTCCACGGACTCAGGCAGAAGGTGCTGTATCTGCTCACGGACTGGGCGAGTGGTTTCTGTCTCACCCAGCTTTAGTCCTGTCCATCTTACCCAGCTTTAGTCCCGTAGCCGAGGGGTCCATGCTCGCTGCCTGCCCACACAAGGCTCCTTGAGGGTTGGCGGGGAGGCGGCTGTGCAAATACAGGAGGTCCCTGGCAGGGCTGAACTTCTCCTGAGGGGCTCTTTCTCCCCAGGGGCTCCCCAGTGAAGATCAGGTAGCTGCTCTGGTGTGTTGGGCACTTAAGTTAAACATCAGGGTGGAAAAATCCAGGACATAGCACCTTACAGTGTACAAAAGTTTTGCGTGCTGTGTTGCTTTTACAGGGTAGCGATGGGCACCTGAGCAGAATGTACAGGTTGATACAGGGGCCAAATCCCAGCACATGATAGTAGAGCTATCTTGATTTTTTGGGTTGAAGGGGAAAGAAGCCTGTCTCATTTGCAGCCTTCCACTTTCCCATTCCTGTACTGGTCATGTTGCTCAGTTCTCCTGCTTTCTTTCTCTACAGCAGGAATAACTCATCATATTTCCTCCTCACCCCTCCAAAAAGCAATGAAAAGGTGAAGGACCTCCATTTTGGAGTACAGGTGTTTTGTTGAAACTGCACATATACTTAAGCTATACATCAAATGATTGCAGAACTTGGGGCAAATTTACTGTGTATTGTTTTTAGAATGGACCAGCATCCCTGTATGCAAAGCTGTTGTTTCTTTGCCTGCTGTAGCTATCAGGGGTAAATACTCAGAAGTTTCTGTTAGCAGGATCCACACCTTCCAAGGCACAGAGTAGATTCCAGCTTAGCAGCATAAATATGCATTAATGTAGTTCATCTAACCACTCTAACCACAGTTACTGTAATTTATCTTTTATCCACTTTGCCTGTCTCATTCAGCAATGCTTTGTGGCTGTGTCTGCCAGCAGGGCAGAACTGCCCGCTGCAGAATAATTAGAATAATTAGACAAAGCTGCAAACCGTTCCTCTCCAACTGATACATTTTTGTCTGTGATGATCACATTTTGTCCATCTCTCTGGTCACCTTTTTGCCATGGCACCAGATGTCTGCTCTTTGGGTCTGGTGAAGAATTAGCTCTGAATAGCTTGCCTGGCATTTCCTACAGCTCCAGTAAGACCATGGAATATTTGCTTCCTTCTCTCTATTTCATCTGTCGATATATTCTTGATTGACATATTGATTCAAGAACATTGTTGGAGCCTTGATACATGCAAGGTCCAGAAATTCTGTTCTGTGCGCTGCTTTACAGGTGTGCCTAACTTCTGCAGGAGGCAAGAGTTGTAAAACACAGTAAGAAGTAGATAACTTATCATTTTTTTCAAACTCATTAAAAAAAAGTTGGTATTTCCTAACAGCAAAGATGCAAACCAAACATTAAATTCTGGATATGGTACCTGATGGCAGCAAAAAATATAAATGCCAGGACTTGAAAATTAATAAATAGCTGGTGCTCAGGGCAGGAGGTTGCTCTGAGGGGTCGTGGAACAAAAGTCTCTTGTAACTCCAACTGTAGGTGTAGTCGCAGGGCCCTACAGCTATCCCCTTAAACAGAAATGACAGTGCAGAACTGGTAATAGGTTTTGAATTGGAGCTTGGTCACAGTATGGAGACAAAAGGTGGTACATCCTCAGGTCACTGAAGAAGCAATTGTGAGTTTGAGGAGCAGAGACAGCTCAGACCTAGTCCTCCTGCAGTTACTGCTGAGTGGATGGGAGATTAATTAACCTCCATGAGACTTGTGTGAAACTGGTGTATAAGTATCATTATCTACCATTTACAGGTAGAAAAGGAATGAGAAGGAAAAATTACTTTCCTGAGATTGTACTGTAAGCCTTGAACAGGACTCACCACTGCAGTTTCCCGTCAGGTGCTCTTTCTTCATATGCCCAAAATTACATGAACAATGTACTATATTTTGTGTAAATATAATGTGTCTATATAGACATGTGTGTGTGTATAAAATGAAATATATATACATTATATAAATATAAAGTGTATATATATAGTTATTTCTACATATGTATAAAAAAACTTAATCATGTACTGTATCAGTAGGATGCATATTAATAAGGTATACACTAAAGTCACAAAAAAATTTTCAAGTATTCTTCACAAAAGGAACGTTCAAGTAACGAGCACATGTAATAACTGAATAATCCAAAGTGATGTACTATTGCATCTAGATAAGTGTATAAAGCATAGCACTCTGATTTTCAAAGTATACTCAATGCATTTCAGTACTCTAAACAGGAATTCCACACAGAACAGCAGGCATGGGTAAAAAGCAGAGGGAAACCAAAGTGCAACCTTACATAAATACATAAATAAATGATGATGATTAATAATTTGCCAGTATCATACAGGGCTAACACATTTTCAACACAACTATACAGGCTGATAACAGCTACTGTGACAACACACGAAGCTGTGTCAGTGTGCCAGCTCAGCCCGAGGTAGTCTCAAGTGGGATGGATGTAAGTCAATGCCATTAGAGGGTCACTTTATCTCAGGACTTCCTTTCAGATACGCTCTTCTAGCATTAGGTTAGTCACCATGCTGAACACAGGGAGACCTTCCTCTTGGCAACCCTGCGGCAGACTCTTTGTCTCCTCCACCCTGGGCCAGTCGTGGCCTTTTGCACAAATCCGCCTCCTCTTTCCATTCCCAAATCTCAGTACCTAGATTTCGGATGGATTTCAGGTTCGTGCCAGCTGACTGCGGGGCTGGAGACACCTGGGCATTCAGCCCATGGCCGGCCAGAGGGCTTGGGCTGGTGGCACCTTGAAGTCCCCCTCCCTGGGGACTAACTACTGCTGCTGCAAAGCGATGTCCAGACTGGGGAGTCCCCTTCTCCCTGCTCCCACCTGCCAGGATGCAGGAAAGGGGGAACAACGGCTGCCGCCCCGAGGGCACTTCCCAGGAGCTGAGGGGATCCCCCAGGGAAGGGCTGGATCCGGGACTGACCCGGCTCTCGGGGCTGGTGGCCCAGGGTGACTCCCAGCCCCACTGCTCCCGTTAGTCGGGGAGAGAGCAAGTCCCAGTGATCCACAACAGGCCTGTGCATGCAGCTGGCGAGCAGCATGGGGAGCCAGGCACCCATTTTCCAGCTCGCTCCCAGATCTCGTCATTTAATTGTATGGACATACCCCAAGCATCTGATGTTGTCTGAGAAACGTTAGAGGAGCATCGCTGAGTGCTGAGAATTAAGCTGAGAACCGGCCGAGGGAGAAGCGGCCACTCGGTTTGCCCAGCAGTTTCCCCCCGTGTTTTGGGCTTTGTCAGAAGTCCCTGGAAATCAGTGGGAAAACTCCTGTCAACTGCCACAGGCTTCATATCCACAGTGCTGCGCATCTCTGCAAGCGTTGCTCGTTGTGATATTTCTGTTTTTCTCAAATGTTCTTTTTCTTTGCAGTGTGATGTCTTGGATCAGAATTTGTTAAATTTCCTCCCAGAACAAGAACATTCAGAAATTTATAAGATGCTTTCTTCTTGTATGCTTATGACGGATTCTGCCTCATCGGATTACCTAAAAAGTAAGTTTTATTTTATCTTCCCCAGTAAATGAAAAAGCACGGGCAGGACAAAAATTTTCTCTCAGAAAGAGCTTTTTATGTGATGTGCAATATAAAACTTAGGTTCATAGCCTTTTAAAAAGATCTTGCCATCTGGAATGACCCTTTGGTTCCATTATTAAATGAAACTCATAGCCTTTATTTTACTAGGCTAAGACTACTTGCAGTTATGTTAATTATTAAATATCATATCTTTTGAGACAGCTAAGGAAAATAGGTTAGCCGATGGAAACTGAGAGTTCGCCTGAGACAAATCACATCTTAATTGATATTTCAGCCTGTTCAAGTAAGATGCTGTTGAGAGATGTGCTAAGGTCACATACCTTTGGTTTGCATTATAGTTGAAAAGTATCTGTAAAATTATTGTAATTCTTTTTAAATTGAATCTTGTTTTTCTTAAAAACACTTTTACTTGCCTCACCCTTATTCACTCTAGGAGGTAAGACGTAGGAAACCAGAAAACACACGATAATGTAAGATGTACAGCTGCTTAATCTACTGTATATACCAAACCTGCAGCTGATAGCCTATATGCCAAAGTTAATTTAATAGATATTTTGAGGTAATTAGGCATAGTTTTCCAACACAAGATGTAGAACAGCTGTGAGTCGTGAAAAGCCTAAATAGAAAAAAAGCTATAAATGAAGGATCCAATTCTCTCCTTCGCTACACTGATGCAATGGCAGCGTAACTCCCGTGATGAAGGTGGTGTAAGAGAAGGGCGAGTTAATCTGGAAGGCTGTCCCCGAGCTGCAGGCAGACCTGCACACAGCGCTGAACAACCTGCATCCCTGCAAGGCGCTTCCTTGCAGAGGCTCTCATCCTGCAATGTATAGCACATCGGTGTATAGGACTCTGAGAGGTAACAAGCTGCTCTCATGCTGCCAGTTGCAAGATTGGGGTTGGAAGACACCGTTGGTTGTGTTTAGCTTAAATAGTATATTTATTTCTTCTTCTTCTTCTTTTAACAATCCAGCTGACAATGAACTAGAGTTTTATTGTCATCTTCTGAGAGGAAGTTTGAACCCAAAGGAATTTCCAACATATGAATACATAAAATTTGTAGGAAATTTTCGGTCTTACAGCAATGGTAAGCTTTAATTGTTGTATAAATGTTACTTTAGCTGTGTAAAATAAAATATAAGTATTGCTCCATTGAACAAGACAGGCTTTTAACTGAAAGGACTATTTTTAACAGTATGGGGTAAATTTTGCTTCACATGGATCTCGCAGCTGATTTGCAATAGCTGGATGAATACCTATGAAGAGGGAAATTGTGTTAGTTGCTTTTGTTACTGCCCTTCACTTGTTAGCAGTGATCCTGGACTCTGGGTAAGTTTGCAAATAATGACAGATTCAGAAGACAGTTTGTTTGTGCTCACTAATACTGTGTGCTAAGACTCTACTTATTAGCTAAATAATAAACTTGCAACCTTATCTGCTTGCTTACATTCAATATAAATGCTGTGCCAGAACTGATAATCTGCCAAATCTGCCCTCTCACCCTTCTCTGCAAAATTTTGGGGAAAGGCGGCAGCACCACGTAATTGAGTGCCTGCACCCACCACCCCTTGCTGTGGTGAGGGGTCCCTGGCCGCTGGCATCGGAGTGGCTGAGGACACTTCCACCTGCCTCCTTCTCCAGCTGCCATTTTACATTCCTCTCCAGCACTGCAGAACACAATACCCTCAAAAAAAAAAAAAAAGGGAAAGAAATACAGTCCGCATAGTCACTAATGCACCACAGTCAGTCTAGGGAAACCATCTTTCAAGGGATGAAGAGCAGATTTCCACCTCGTCCGTTCCCTAACAAACAGATTGCTGCATGGCCATTAGTGTCAGAAATGAAATACTCTTTTATTACTTTCCCTTCTCCTGCCTGCCCAAGTTTGCTTTAGTTACTTGCCTGATTGAACTCCAGAGTGGCATTTCCAAAGTTGCTGGTATTGTTCCAAATAGGTCATCCTCAGCAAAAAAATTCCCCACCGTGCTTTCCAAAAACCGCACGCCACACTGCAAAAAAAAATGTCCCTGTCCCCATTTAACTTTCTGCTCTTGCTCCACATGACTAGAATAGAAACCTATGTGCAGGATGGAGATATGTATTTCTTGTTTGGTGCCATCTGATTTGAGGCTTTATTTGTATAAAAAATGTAACTGCCTGTATGCTTTCTAGTTTGAATGAAGCAAAATGTGGCTGCCTGACAGACGCGCACACCAAGCTGTTCTGTTTTCTAGAGCAGAAACCGGATTTCAGGTGCTGACTCATAAGGATACATTTCTACCAGGGGAATTTCTGATCCATTTTCTTCAAGGATTTTCAGCCTTTCTTTTTGGCGTGACCTTAATATTGCCCTTTTACCTGTTAGGATTTCATATCCCAGCATTTGTATCAGTGGTTATTTCTCAGAAGAAAAATAAAACTTGTGTTACAGGTATCTTCCCTAGCTTAATGCATATAAACTAAATGGGAACGTATTGATTTCAGAAGAGGCCAAATCATTTTCCAAATACTCCAGCTTTCAAATAGGACATGTGCTTTCTGCTTCAATTTGTAATTATTTTTTCCTTTGTGCCACCTTTTTCTAAATATTCCACTTTATTTCATCTCTTCCACTTTCTTCCTGTCTCTGCTGCAGTCTGACCCTCTGGTCAATAGGGACAGGACAGCCCTTGCCCCAGCTCTGGGAGATGGTGCCTCCCAGCTCCCTTCCCCTTTCCCCATCACAGAATGGCAGCTTGTCCATCCTGATTTTAGTTTCCCCAGTTCAGTGCAGAGCCTGGTGGAAATACTTGCTTCACCAGTGCATCCCCAGCACTGCTCCCCCTTGGCCAGGGGTCACCCCCCTGGTCCCCTCTGCCCCCCCTGCCACCAGCCTGGCTCCTAATCCAGCCACAAAACCACCTCTCAGCAAAGGTAGAAGCAAGTGCGTCGGACTTGTGATGTAGCAGCAGCAAACTGTTTGCTTGGGAGCTGATAACCTTGGGCCAAGGACAGAGCGAGCAGCCGGAGGAGGGTGCAAACCTCCAAAGCGGCTATCGTTAACTCCACTGGGCTTCTTGCGTCAGTCGGCTGCACCCTGAGCAAGGCATGGAGGACATCAGCTCAAGCAAACACCATATGAACGCAGCCGCCCTTTAGGCAGCTTTCCAGCCCTGGGACTGGGGACAAGCAGCTGTGTTTTGGCACAGGGACTTGCGGCACGGACACCTTTGGGCATCTGATGGGCGCAGCGGTGGGCTGGGTTCATGCCTCTGCTTGGCCCCCCACACCCCATTATCGGGTACCGTCCCCCCCAAGCTCATGCACCCCAGGTCTGTCACCTGCCAGACCTGCCAGTAATTGCTTTCTTCTTCCTTCCATTAAATAAATACCCATTCTCCAGCCAGCTCCCCTCCAGATGTGAGGCCAAGCAGGCAAGAAAGACAGTGGTGGGAAGGGTGGCGGGGGAGACACATATCACTCACAGGGCAGCGCTCGTCCTACGTGTGTAGGATCAGCTGGCCCCAAATCCTGCTTTTTGGAGGTGTTTGTGGAGGAATGAGGCTAAGCTAAAGATAAGAAAAGAGTTAGCTGGGGGAGAAAGACAGAAATTGCAAATTAAGCTTAATTAACAGGAGGCATTCCTTATGAATGTATTCAAGAATGCTTTTCCCTGTAGCTTTTCACAGCAGTGGAAGTGTGAGCATGTTTTTACACATGGGAGACTGATACAGGATGTTCTTCTCTAAATACAAATCTCTGCTGTTCCTTTTTAGCCACCTGACACCAAATCCTACCTTTGTTTCCAACCGTTTGCTGTGCGTACTCTGAGTCCGCCCTGCCTGCACGTTCCTGCCGCAGGGACACCGGAGCCTCTGTGGCTGGGGAAGCTCTTTTATCCCTGGGCAGGCTGTATCCCATCAGGATACTTAAATATTCTATTCTCATTAATGTAGAGTTGTGGCAGTGACAGTCCTAACAAATCTTTCACCCTTCCTTCTTACTTAACCTTCACTAATATTTTGAAGAACTGGTAGGTCCTTTTTTGCCCTCTTTAACAGAAATGTCACAAGCTTTATTCTATTTCCACATAACCTTTTATGTAACCTCCCTTGAATTATCATCTTCTTAGGCTCATTTTATTATTGTTCGTTGCTCATATAATAGTGGGGCTTGGGGGAAGGGGATCATGTGTGCTGGGGTCCCAGTCACCTTGCCCCCCTTCCTCCTCCTTCGTACCTTCTCTGTTAATCGCATTGTGACTTATGGCTGAGAACATCATATAGGGATGGGTTTGAATGGATTAATTTGAAGGACTGAGGCTTAGAAAGCCAGTTAGGGGCTTAGCTGCTCTCCCTAACTTGAGTGAGAGCTCTGGGGCAAGGCCATTGTACTGAGATGCCAAAGAGAATTTTCTTTCTGCTAAAGTAGAACAAATACCTGGTATCTACCGAGGTGACTTATCACCAGGATTGCTGTCAGGGAGGCAGATCACACACAACCTACATCAAACCCATGCTACTCCCCCAGAGGAGCAGTCACTGGCATCTTCCCCCATCCAAGAAGGGGCAGGGAGATGCCTGGGCAGCCCCCAGAAATTGCCCGGGAAAGTTCACACAGGTCACAGCATGAGTTCAGTCTTTCAGAAGATCGCTGTCCCTAGAGCTCCTGGGCTTGGCTATAGCTGGAGGCTAGAGGAGCTGCACAGCCCAGTGCCAGGGTTAGCGGGAGGGGGGGTCCACGCTTGGGCTGGTCCCGGGGATGGTGTGCGGTAAGCCGAACTCCGTAACCCCTGCTGCAAGGACATTTCTGCAGCTGTATCTCCAGCAGGGATGTGACATGAGCCGCCTGCACATGAGCGAACATCCCTGGAAGTAGCTGTGCCCAATCGAGAGCGGCTGACCGGGGAAACAGCAATGCGAGCTGTGTGGAGTGACTGCATGAGTCACTGGCTGTGCTAAATCAAATACAAGAGATCTGATTTTTCCATTTGGGAGGATTATATAATCATCATTAATTAAGCTTCAATGAGAAAAGCAGGACTGTAACCTGACGTGAAGACTCAGTAGTCCCTTGAGAGGAGGGGAGGTGGCCCATGGGCCACTCAGAAGAGGAAGATGGAGTTCCCTCTCTGCTCCTGTGAGAAAGCCTACTTGCTCTCAGAGCATAAGGGGGGTTATTTGCAAATAGGAACGCTTTCCAATATTTTTCTATATTTTGGGTTCTGGTCCTGTGGTCCAGATTTTAACAAGAGAGATGAATATATGCAAACATCTGAGGGAGCCAAGTGCCATCGCTGTACCTATTGACCAGTAGTACCTGATAAGGGGCAGAGTCCCATCAGCATCACCAATGAATAATGCAGTGGCTCCCATCCAGTTTTGCCTGAGGGCTGAGGGGGGAGGCAAGTAATAAAGATAACCCTCAAAAAAATCCAAGGAAATGCTTAGCTTCCAGTATAAAATGTCAAATTAAGTAAGAATAAATTATTTGACAAAGCTGCTTAATAGCTCACTCTGATAAGAAAAGATAAGGCAGGCAGGATTTATCCCTCCTGTGAAAATTGTTTACACATTTGTAAACAGAAAAAGATCTCTCATAATTATATAACCAAATATTGGCTTTGGTATCCTATTTCTGAGGTGACGTACTTGCTTAAAAACTCCTGAAAGGGGCAAAGCCAGAGTCCTGCCTTTCAAAGTGTTCACCAATATAAAAAAGGACCACCAGCATCTTTAAAGTGGCAGATCCGTCCTTTCATCCAAAATGCCTGAAGTTTTTCTTTTGAAGGAGGAGATAACCATTACGTGAAAAGAGTTCCTGATCAAGTAATATAATTAAATATTATAGTGGAATTTAAAATTGTGCATTTTTGTTCCCAATTACATGGAAACTCAGGAAGTGTGTGGTTACTGGATGCTAATAATAGCAGATACTCTACTGTTAGCTGGTGTAACTCTCAGAGATAAGTATAACCATCAAGAGAATTATTACACTGAGGAGAAAAAAAAATCTTTTTACTCCCAGAACAATTAATTCAATCTGAATTCCTTTTTAAAAGAAATAAACAGATTTATACAAAAGATACATTGATCTTGAGCCTCCACAAGCATATGCAGAAACATCTGATAACAAGAATAACTCAAACTGAAATGAATGTTTTGATCAGAACCGACAGCCGCATATTATTATTTGCTATTAACAATATTGTAGAAGCTGCAGCTAGCCATCTGCAGTGTTTATGCTGGGCTTTCTATGGGCACTTAAGAAAAAAGGCACCATCCTGTCCTAAAGAATTTACTTGGGGTTCATATCAACACAGGATGGCGAGGGGAGAAACAGGAGGAGGAAAGAGGAGAGAGTAGATCAAAGCAGACAAGTGATGTATGGACACCATCACAGTTACTCATCCGGAGCTACTGAGTGCAGTCTGGCTTGCCACTAGCACTTTAGATTTCTTCATTATATATATTAATTGCTGAATATTCTGTATATCTGTGGCCTGAGTTTATTTATATGAAACAATCTTGATTTTATTCTGGTCTCTTGGGCTTGTATTTTTTGAAATCACTGTTCAGTTTGTTTGACAGTCACTAAGACCAGTTCTTTAAACATTAACATCTAGTGACAAAATAGGAAGGAGGGATTTTTTCTTTCGAATGGCATAAATGAGAGGTTTGCTGTTATAGGAAGAATACATTTTAAATATCCTAAGTTAAATTAAGATGACTGAGCAACTGACTGCCGTACTATTATTAACCGAATAATGTGGCGTCTGGGGTTTTTTAAACATGTTTTCATTCATTTCATGTGGCATGATTTGCATCCCTAAGGATAAAAATCTTTTTGTCTATGGTAGTTAAGGGCTTGGTTCCTTATATATATTACTTATTTTTAACATCTTGTCCTTAGTGTCCTCGTCTTTAAAAAAAAAAACAAAAACAAACAACAACAAAAAAACCTGTATATAGGCAAATCAGCTTCTTTCTATCTTCTTATATGATATTTGCAGGTAATTTAATACTTCTACAAAAGACTTTTATGGTAGCTCTAGGAGCAGCAGGTCTGATAGCTAACCACAAAACTGATTAAAATTCATGCTAAGGAGCATCAGCTAACTGATATATATGAGACAACTGTTTCACCTTTCTGATTATGTATTTAGTTTTGTCACATGACCTTCTAATTCCCTACTCAAGATATCTTGTCTAGATCATTTAATTGGGAAACACACATGCCCTCATTTACCGGAGCCCACCTGTTTATAGCCAGTTTAACATTTTCATCAGGAGCCTTCTGACAAAAGCACTCCGAGACCTGTATTTGACTTACAAATGTTAGTATCATCCTAGCCTCAGACTTCATCCTATATTTTCCATTCCACCATTTTTCTGTGGTGCTCTCAGAAAGTTTGCTATTGAACTTTGCTACTTCAAGATGTTGTGTGTTTCTTTTAAAGAGCCTTGGAGAATTATAAAGCACGATTTTTCAGATGGCATGCTTAAAAGATTATACCAGGATTATTTTTTTTTTAAATTCATGTAATGATCTCTTTTTTTAACTACACTTTAAAATTTATCAACAAAAAAAGTTGAAATTTGCTGACCAGCTGCAAGAGCAGAGCAAAACAGGCTGTGCAGATAGAGCTGTGAAAAGAAGAGATACCAACAAAATAAGTCAGGCAGCAAAGTAATTCAGAAACAAATGTGGGATTTTTTTTTTTCTTTCAGTTATGGTAGTTGTTATTTTCAGATCAAAATGTACATTTCAAGGTGGTGGCTACCTGCCTGCATCATCGAGGCTTTTAGTGCTTTGGGCTTTGTGAAGGGCAGCTGAGTATGGAGATGGCACAGTAGCTGTTTGAAGACTGGATGACTTTCAGCCAGGCCAGCTCTACCTCATCTCCTTGGCCTTACTGACTCACTGCTGCCAAATTCAACATTCCCAAATGTTGTGATGAAATCCCAAAGTTACTACATAGCTGTACTATATGATAATTATTACCCTTTTAGTACTGCATTTACCTCTTGGAAATATAATCCTATTTTGTAAATGCCACATTCAAGGATGTATTCCGCTCTCTTCTGGAAATACGTCTCAGGCTCATGGCTGTTTACATCAAACAGCTGACATAAAAAAGCCATCCGTGCTCTTCGGTGCAACTTGGTCTCCACTGGGCATTTCTTCTGCAACTGGTATCATTTGCAAGCCCATGGGTTCACAAACTAAGTTAACTTATCATACCTGTACTCTGGAGGCTGAATGTGCTTATCTTATTTTCATATCTTAGAGCCAGCCTGCAAACATTTGCTACTGAACTTGGCTATTACAGAGAGAAACAGCCCCATTGACTTCAAACATGACAACATATTACATAGTAAGACAGGAGGTAACTTTTTACAGTGCCCTTAATGTAGGTTTATAGCAATCCCATTCATTTTTAAACAGGACTGACTACAGAAATCGACAGACTTGCACAAAATAATCATATCAGAGACGAACCAGTAACTCTTTACTCAGGCTTCTCCTGTTTGCTGTAGCTCCTAACTCTTTCTTCTTTTTTCACCTCTTGTATTAATAATCCCATAGAAGCCCTCATTTATGCACATAACCCCGGGAGCAGAACTGGAATACATATTCCTATGAAGTCCCCAGAGCAAGTGTACTTTGCTGGTGAAAGGAGGAGAATTTTGCCCATATTTTTTGTCTCAATATCCAGTCAGCCATGCCCTCCAGCCTCAACTGCAAGAGAGGGCTGTAATCTCTGTGGATGTTCACATCTGTGCTGCCTTCTCAGATGAGGAATCTTTCTTCCCCTTTTTGGCGCAATATATATTGTGCACACAGTGGCCTAAACCAGTTAATCACAGGTGTGAATTCTCCTCAGAGTACTTATTTTTCTCTCTCACACCCTCTTATCCTTGTTATCAGCTATTTATCATTATTCTAAGGCTTTTAATAGGTTGAACTGGGTTCCAAAAGCACATGTGATAAGTTGAGACTTCTTCCATCTCTACAATTTATGCTAGTGAACTAAGGCCCAGTGCAGAAGCACCCCAGAATAAAACCTGCTAGTTATCTCCTCCCAGGTAGATACAAACCTCTTCATTTTCACAGGAATGGACATATTTATCCTTGCTTTGTCCTACGCAGAAGAGACAAACTGTAGGAAACTTCATAAAGTTGGATATAGGGGCCTAATAGTAAGGAAAGATGGTTTCATATCAGCATTAATCCCTGTTAGCATTAGATTAACTCAGATTGGTGAACTCTGGCTGCTAGATGGGACCTTCTCTGCCCCCATGGGAGATAGTCGGCTGGGGAGTGCAGGAGCCCATGGGGCCAGCCCAGTTCCCACTGCAGCTTAGCACACAGCTTGCTTTCACTGCTGTGGGAGCGGGATTACCATCGCTAAACAGCTCGAACCTGGACGAAAAATTTGCATTATGTCGTTCTGACATGGGACTGTGGGCTAGCTTAAGGCAACATGTTCTTTTGGCAACACATCGCCATGGCAGGAGGTGCTAGCGGGCTCTCAAAGCAACACAAGAGCCATGCAGTCATGGAAGACACAGATACAAAAACCATATACAAAATCTGTAGCCACATTGCATCCAGTTTTTCCTTCTGCCCAGTGTTTCAGGAGACAGCAGACTATCTGCAGACTCGCCAGAAATGCCCAGCTCTGGAAGGAGGTGCCGTGCACGGGGTCCTCTTTGCTCTTCTTTAGAAGAAGGAGAACCGAGCATGCTGGGGATGGTTCTCCTTAGATGCGGAAGGGGAAGGTGCATTTCAGCAGCTGAGAATCACAAGCAGCCTCTTGCTAGCTCGATGAAGCCTTGCTGGCTGTGGGCCCCGGTGTTTTGCTACTGATGACTTGGCGAACTCTCTTCAGCTACCTCCCTTGCAAACGCTTTTTTTCACTGCCTCATGGAAGTTAGGGCGCTAGGCATGCTGCAGCTTATATTTTTTTCTCGTGAGTGGTGAAAAAGAGCAATTGGATGCGTGGGGTTTCTTTCCAGAAAGCTGGTTTATGCTCTGTAATAAGGTTTGGCCTTATTTTTATCAGGATTAACCTATAAGATTCATACTTGGAAGTTAAGCTCTGATGTCTTTCTGCCTAACATGACTGACTTGGATTTAAATATATGCATATCAGCTTTAAAAGCTTTTAGAGCACTTCTTTGAATAAAATTAGTATTAGTATACTTCAAGTGTGCAAAATATTCAGGGAGAGCAAATCTCGTATGAGGCATGACTCTGGGTCCCATTTTTTTCCCTACCTAGTGCCTAACTCCACTTGCAATGGCTTTGATGAGGCTGTGCCAAGGGCTTACAGAACATCCCCAGGAAAGCAGATCTGCTTCGTTGCGACTGTTCGTTTGGCAACGCCTCAGTTTTTAAAGGTAAGTGCATACCCTGGGTCCCATTCATTTCAGAACTTCTCAAACCACTTTCAGATGGAGTGACACACAAAGTTCTTAGTTTTGCTAATTGAATGGATTACAGATATCACATTTCATGCATAAAAATCCAGTGAAGAGGATTATCGGTGCGAGCCAGGATCTGCGGAAGTGGTGTCACTTCACAGGAAATGGAAACCCTTCTTACATTAGGAATTGCAAAGTCACCTCGAAATTGGGTTCTTTGTGGCTGCTTTCTGTTCCTGCGATGGAACAGTGTACAGATGGCCACCAACACTTTCATTTGTGCCCCTCCATGTCTTCGGATGACTGCTGCTACTTTCCCTCCTCCCAAATCCTGGTAGTAAGACTGCTGCTTGTGGAAATAAGGATAGATCACCCAACCTTGTGCCTGGCACTGCAGTTCCCTGATTAACAAATGTGAGCTACTGCATCAGGTGTCCCATCCTTAGAGGTTAAGAGATTTTTAATCTAATTGAGACCTAGCCGGTATGAAATCACTGCTCCCTTGGCCTGGCTCCATTACTGCTCTGGGAGTTGCAGGGCAATCTTGACTGATTCATGGCCCCAGCAGACAAGTAGAGTCCCTTCTGGGTAAGTGAGAACACTTCCCATAAATCCCAACCACAGTAATCATATTAACAGTAGGGGCCGGAGTTAAGGTTCTCTGGGAACCCTGAAAGCAAATTCCTTTGTCTTTGGGTAGTTAACATCTCAAAATAAACAGGGAAATGAAATGGGCTGCATGTGGCAATGAGCTGCCCAGTGCTAGGGAGGAAGCAGCTGCTGAACAACCTGGAGAAGGTGTTAGCTGCCACGAAATCCTAGACACCAATCTCTTCACTTCACCTGGGTGAATCACTTAATCCCCGCTCATTACTTCCTTTTCTATAAATTAAGGCAAAAATATTTATCTGACTGGCTATGGAAGGCAGAATCAGCATTTTGGTTGCACACAGCAATGTTTGCATGTTGCACCTTGAATTTTAGGGTATGTTCTCGGCATCAGCATGGATTTTGTCATAAACTGGAGAGGGAGGGAGAGAGGAATTTAAGATATGCATGAAGTCTTTTGCCGCTGTACAGCCAGCAACATAATCAACTTCGTGAGCATTGATATGTATCAAAGAAACACTTGATGGCAGCATGCCTCAGCTTGTCCTCTGGTCCCAAGAGGGTTTAAAATGTTGGTGGTCTGAAAGACTTCTCTCCCCAAGAGGGACAGCAGAGAGAGAAGTGGCAGTGGAGACGATGGGATGGTGTCGCTGAGCCCACGGCACAGGGGGATATAGCACCAGGGAGCAGGGGGACAGCAGCATTGGGGGCCAGTGGGCAGACTGTCGTTATTGGTGATGATGGAGACCCTCCTGCAGGAGAGACATGGCGGGGGGACAGTAACCCTGGATGCCACCAAATTCTGAGCACTGGTGCTGGCAAGTCCCAGGCCAGGGGTCTCCAGGGTGACTCCAGGCAGCTTGTGGAGCTGGAGTTGCCACTGCAAGCCTCCAGAGGGAGAGGAGAGGTGGGCAAAGGGGAGCTGCGAGCCAGCCGTGGGGCACGCAGCCAGCCCCAGCCCATGCACAGGCATGTACCACAGTGCCGTCCTTCCTCCCCTTCCCACCTCCACTCCACAATTAATCACCACCAACTGCCTCCCGATCCTCAGTTCCCTGGGGCAAGGATGTCCTGCCTCGTAGACAGCCCTGTGCCCTGCCTCCTGTAATTCACTTATTAATTATCATTCTCACGAGCACCAAGGGCTGCCGTGAGTCTTAAGGGCCAGCTTCTTCGCCACAGGAGTGAAGTGCAAGGCAAAACTACCACCTTTTACCCGCCTGACGGGCCCCGTGCAGGCTGCCTGCCTGAAAAGACATTTACTCCTCTGCAGCTATTGAGTGGGAGGGAGAATGTCCCCCTTTCTCAAAGAGACCTTGGAGGCCAGACGTCCAAAAGGGCCGGGTAAGGGCGGTGGGTATCTTTAGTAACACAAAAAGAGTGAGGAAAGACGTGGCAAAGCCAGGTGGGACCAAGAACAGGCTAGATGCTGGGAAGGGGCATTGCTCCTCGGGGCCGTGGGTGGCACAGCCATCACACCCTGGGCACTGCTTCAAAGCCATAAAAACTTTGGCAGCTTGAGGAACAGTGTCAGCTCTTGTCAGTCTGTGTGCCTCACAAGTTCTTCTCCCCCAACTCCTGCAAAAATTTTGGCATTGATAAATACAATAGATCGCTCTCTGGAATTGCCAGAAAACGTGTGAATCCTCTGTTTTCTCCTCTTATACACCGTGTATTTATAGCTAACAAAAGCTAGATGAAGCGGAGGGGTGAAGCAGCAACTCTCAGCAAGTCGGTTTTCTTCACCATACAGGAGATGTGCATCGTGGAAGAACCTCTAGAGGAATTCACATCAAGACACAGTCTGGAGTGGAAATTTTTATTCCTGGATCACAGGTTGGTGACAAGAGAAGCACTCCTGGTTGTGTTCAGTGCTTGTCTACTGCTATTTTCGTAAGTGCAATTCTCTCAAATAGTGTTACATTTCACATCTGAATCACATGAACAGGAGGGTCGCCACTTAAGTTCCTACAAAAGATGATACTTACTATTTTACCCTGCATTTTATCAGTCTTTAAAACAAAACTACTCAGTTTCTCAGGCCAAATTTGTGATTAGCTTGTTCTTGTTTCCTTTAAAATTATCAATGGAGCAAAGTCTGTCACAGGACAAAAATCATCTAATTATTATACAGCTGCGGAAATCATTCTTTCCAAATCCAGCCATTGATTGTGTGTGTGCAATTCCCACAGTTACGGAGGGAAAGTCTGTGCTGGCCTGAGGCAACCGTGCTGGCAAAGGTACAAAGCAACTGCCTCAGCACCCCACGGACGAGCTCTGCAGGCCCCCAGAGGGAAGCAACAAGACGATCTCCCCACCTACCCGCCTCGTCCCAACAGACGATGGCTTCCTATCAGCTCGCCACACATTTTCCCCTGTGCGGGGACTGCAGGAGCCGCAGCAGAGCTCCTCACCAAGGAACGGTCAGGGAACGGCTCCCTCGCAGCAGGTTCTTCTGTGAAGGTCCCTGAGAAACCGAGTTGCTTTCCACAACCACATTTTCCCTGGAAAGATGGGGTTGTCATGACCTTGTCCTTGGGGGACAGTGCCCACCGGCACTGCCATGCCCAGCTGGGCATCCCAGGCACAAGGCGGGGAAAAGTCATGGTCCGGTCCCCTGCGGGGACAGCCGTACACCAATGAGTGAGAGCAGATCTGGGCTTTTTACATATCCATGTCGACATGCAGAACTGCTGTTTCTTTCGTGGTTTATGAATTCACTCATATTGTGCCTAACCGCAGAGCACCGCCGATTATAGGATACTTGCCTTTTGAAGTGCTGGGTACTTCTGGCTACGACTATTACCATATAGATGACCTAGAGCTGCTAGCAAGGTGCCACGAACACTGTAAGTATCACATAGCCCAGGTTCTTCTGGAGTCACTGGGACACCTCTTTTCAGGGAAATGTAGTTTCACTTAAAACTGGTTTAAACTTGGAAGGGGAGGTTTGACCCTTGCCTCACGCCTGTATGTCTTAGCAGAGTTGTAGCAGATTGGGAGCACTGCAGCTGATTGGCATCTGAGCCAGACTTATCAAGCTCTGAAAAATACAATTTTACCTTCTGTATCCCCAAAAGTAGTCAACAAGGGTCACTGAATGGATAAAATATGCCAGATTAGACCCCTGCTTTATTAGTAAAGAATATGCAGAAGAATAGTTCAAGCAATCTCAGAGGAGATCCTATTTTGTAAAATTCTTATTGATTATTTACCCTAATGTTGTTCACCATGTATTTGGGATTACCTGTGATTATTTAAATATAGTCTATTAAGATTTAATTGAAAAACTCTCACTAAGTAAGGAAAATGAGGCAATGCTTTTCAAATATTTGCTTACAGAACTGGCTGGAACATCTCAGCTTACCACCTTTGGGTGGCTCAAAAATACCCCATCAACATTAGTTTTTATATGTTACATTAAAATATAGAAAGGCTAAATATGTGCATGTTTTGGAACCCCTTGAAATCACTGGGGGGAAAAGCAGAGATCAATTTTGCCAGTGAATCTTTTAAACCTTTAATATACCCATTTACTGCACTTTGAATTCTTTTCAGTCTGGGAATTTTCTTTCAGTTTCAAATGATTTTTGTCTTTGCACAATCTTATCTCCTATACTCCCTTCATTCTGAATCCATCTGCACACAATACTCATCTTTTCAAGCATTTTTATCCTGTACTTTTCTGCTATAGCACTTAAGATGATCACTCTTAGAAATTAATCCCAGATGCCTAATTAAGCAGTATGTGATCAGCACATAAACCAGTATAAGATCTATGTTTAAGTTGTAGCAGACATTAATGCATTAGTGTCCAAAGTTAAGGTTAATTGTGCTGTGAAGGAATGTACCATTTGAAGTGTCAGGAAAAGGTACCTGCTGATCTTTATGATATTTGCTCTATGGTAAGACTGAGAGGACCACTCACTCGAAAGGTTCTCAGACTCCTGTCTTCCTTGGGAATCAATGGGGCCATAGTACTTTTGTCACACTTTTCACATTTCATGTCATTTTCACATCACAAATTGTGCTACAAGCTGTGTGTATTTTCTGCTGACAGTGATGCAGTTTGGCAAGGGGAAGTCGTGCTGCTATCGGTTTCTGACCAAAGGACAGCAGTGGATCTGGCTCCAGACCCATTACTATATCACCTACCACCAGTGGAACTCCAAGCCAGAGTTCATTGTGTGCACACACATGGTGGTAAGGTATGGAAAAATCCTATCAACCAGCGGGGACATAAAAGACAGTAAGATAAGGGCATCCTCATGATTGCCAAAATTGTCTCTCAGAAAAATGATGTCTTTTATGTAACAAAAAAAAAGACTGAAGTCTCTGAAGGATATATGTTCATTATAGAAAAATGATCAGAGTAAACCTTACTTTATCCTAAGCTTGATTTGTCAATCGGGAGTTTAGGGACAGATTAACTGTTGCATTTTTCCACTTTGTGCAGAAGTAGGGAACAGACAGATCCCTTAACTATTCTAATACTTAGTTAAGCTCCAATTCTTACATTGTTTTTCAAAGAGATGTGTGGAAGCTTTCCAGTGAAGTTATACAGTGGTTGTAGGCTGTGAACTTGACCTTTATATATACTTCTTTAATATACCTCTTGACTTCAAGAAGACAGGAACAGAGCAAAACCTGAAAATTAAAAGTCTCTCAAATGTGATTCAGTAGCATCTGACTTAAGCGATTTTTCAGCTGTGCATTTAACCTGTAAAATGTTACAATAATTTGCTCCTCTATTTGCTTAAAGCACATTTTATGAAATATAACAATACCATGTCGATACATACAATTACATTTTACATTCAGTTATGCAGATGTTCGGGTGGAGAGGAGACAGGAGATGGGCTTGGAAGAAGTGTCCTCAGAGGTTGTGTCCTCAGCACTAAAGGTACAAAGAGAAAAGTTTCTTCATTAATATGTGTAATCACAGCTTGTTCCTATGTTAATGTCACTGAAGACTCTGGCATTGTCTTTCTGGGTGGATTCCCTCAACTTCAGAATTCACTGCTCACTTGAATAATTTTAAAGTAAATTGGATAAGCTCATGAAAGGATAAACCTGGAGATCAGTAACAGCCACAAATCAAGTGGAACATGGACAGGGGCAATGTGAGATATCCCCACCTTTCCTTGGCAAGGTACTACAGTTTAAAGATTCATTCGGACATGTTCTGGCAATCAGCCTTCTTGGCTACATCTTGGTGATCTGCTGAGGGATGAAAGAAAAGCTCCTCCTCAGTGCACAGCTGAGTGTCTCACAGATGTTGTAGTTGCTCTCACATCCAACTGAACGCAAAAGAAAGATTCAGAAAAACATCTGAAGGCACAAAATAACTACGGCAGTAGTTCGCTATTTATTTCCAACTCAGTGATAGCTCTTTGTAAAATGCTTTAGTTAGATGCTATTTGGAAGGGACATTGACACTTGTGCCCAGGTCTTCTGCTGGCCTACCTGGGATTAGTTCTGCTCAAGTCATTTTAGGCCAGCCAAAGAACTGGGTGCACAACCATTACTAGGTGCATTTCAAAATGTTTTCACCCTGACAGATGCAATAGCTATTCCCTTTTTGTTTGTTTGTTTTAGGACAGTGGCACCAGCTTGGATCCTGAACAGCACTTTAATGCACTTGATATTGGTGCCTCAATCCTCAGCGCTAGTCGGACACCCTCAGTATCATCCAGGAGCTCACCCAAATCTTCCCACACCCCCAAGTCAGACCCAGCATGTGAGTGGTATTCCTGGGTTACTGCATTATTTTTAATTTAGCCAAGTTACAGAATGTGTGTTTATATACCACAGCTGCTAATTTAGCACTTATTTATGAGGTATCGATGATATGTATTTGTCGCTGACAATGAAGTGCACAATCTGAAATGGTAACGTACAAGAGGGAAGGTTCTAGTGCAGCCACCCATACACTGGAAAATGGGTAGCGGGACTAGCCATGAGACGTGCTGTTTCAATCTGTTACAAAAATGAGGACTTCTCTCTTCAGATTTGAGGGCATCAGTATAAGCAATACAGGGCCCCTCTAGGCTTACAGGAGTAATAGCAGCCTGTGGGTGATCCTCTTCTGGCCAAGATTCAGGATGCTCCAGCCAAGACTTGGGCACACCTTACACGCTCCTTCTGCTCCCTGGTCTGGAAGAAAAGCCAATGAGCTAACCTAAATTTATAGTTATTTGGGCCATGTGAAGGGAGTTCCAGCTGTTTTGGAACAGGTCTTGGGTCCTTTTGCTCCATTCATTGGAGCACAGAACCATAATCTGTCTCATTTACTTTTCTCTTTGCCCAAGCCCTCCTATCAGTTTAATTTTACTACCATTGAAGTCAACAAGAACAGCCTTGACTCCCACTGGAATTTAGCCAGGCCGTAATCATTTCTATCTAGGTCTCATTGTAATTCCCACTTCAAATGGGGATGATTTCCAGCGTGTAAGGACTCACCAGTACTTTTCTTGCAGCTACACCAACAAAGCTGATTGCCGAGTCTAACACCCCCTTGCCAAGAACACCGAGCGCGCAGCAGGATTTATCTGTGCATAGACTCAGTCAACCTACTACTCTTCAGGTAACTTTACAAAGAGTCATCAAAATAGGCAGATGGTATAAAGCATGTGCCACATACGCAGCTTAGCAAATAAAAACAACTTACACAAAAGCCATGGCATTAGAAGAAACCTAAAATTTAAAGGGGCCAAACTTAGAAAGTTTTGTTTTCTTTTTAACCTAGGTTTCTTTGCCTTCTCAGCCTCCATGTGAGCTTCTCCCACAGCAGTTGCTGCCTCAAGCAACTCTGCAAAATCAGCCTGCACCTCTGGCACAGGTTAGTTGGGGATTTGGAAGTGGAATAGGTCACTTGCCTATCTTCTGTAGTTTTCTCCTTTCGTCTAGTAAATAAATGAATTAATAGGGTCCAGGTCTTTTGGGACTTTTAGGTTATCTCCTTAGTAGCTAATATCTCCAAATCTAGCAGCTCTCAAATGCTTAAAATATCGTGGGAAAGTAATCTGAATTGTACACTTGTGTGCTTAAACACGTAACTGCATACAGGCATTCAGAGCAGAAGCCCAGGTACATGTAGGTTCAGGTGCACACACACATGTATTTCACAGGAGGACAAAAACAGCTGGAAAAGAGTTTTCAACTTTGCTTCTACAGAATCAGGTCCCATCAAAATCAAGGTCACAATGAGAATTAAAAACAAGCCTAAAAACTAACAAAGACCCAGTCCTCCTAAAAACACCTGTTTGTCTATGCTGATGCAGAACTAACCAGCAGTAAGGGACACAAAAGTTCATCAAAACCCTTTTTGTGAGTGTGCCAGTAACGGTGAGGGTGCTGCTAGAGACAAATGCCTCCAGTGAAATCTATTAATCCATATCTCAAAACTGGGTGATGGCCCCAAAAGACACCTCAGTGTTTCATTTGCAGTGGATTTTGAAGGAACAAATTTGAGTACCATGTTCCCATCATGTTGTTTCTCTCCTGTGGTCATGCTGTGATGATACACCCCATCATCTGCTGATTTTAGAAATGACAGAGTAGTCCTGGACCTAGGCTGCTTCTACTATTGGTACCCTGTACTCCCTCACAACATCCCAGAGTTTCTTCCTGTAGCATATAAAACATAGAAAGTCCTGAGGATCCCTGCTTTAAAATAACAAATTCTCATTTATCTTCTGTGTTTAATATTCTTTTCACGACTCCGCAGCAGCATGCAGAGAAGAAACAGCATATCAATTATCTGCTCTGAGCATTCATTTTCTGTTACAGATATTTCTCCCCGTTATTCATTAATGCACTTCCAAACATAATTTAGTTTATTTATTATAAACCCATGCATGTTTTGTTTGACTTTTTTCTACCTCCCTTTCTTCTCCATCAAAGCTCTTTGTGAAGAGATGCTTTCCAGTTGTTTACCGAGAGCCTCGCTGCCTCACCCCTTCCCAGTGAAACGCTCTTACTGGCACGCCAGATCCGTTTCTTCTCTGCCAAATCAGAGCGCTGTCCAGTCGCATGGCCACTGGTTAAGCCTCTTTGGGCTGGCTAAATCTTGGTGAAAGGAAGAGGGTTGACTCCAGTCTGTCTACACAGGCAGCCCTCTTCCCGACTGGCAGCAAAGTCACAGCAATGCTCCTGGCGAAGCTCAAGGTGGAGCTTCCCTTGATGTGGAGCAGGGAAATAGCACCAGGACATTGCAGCTCAGGTTGCTGAGGCTCACACCCCATAGCGATACTCCTGGTAAAGGGAGCAATCCTCCATAGACTTGGGTGATTTTCATAAACTATTAATGCTTTCTTCAACTGCTTACCTCCTACCTTAAAATAATAAACACATCAGCCTACAGCAAGATAATCCATTATATCAAAGACAAGGTGCCTGCGGCGCTAAGCGAATGAGTGACGAAAGCCAGGTACGCCCGCCTGCTTCCCCCCACGAACGTTTCCTCAGTTTCCTAGTTGACCGTTTCGCAGCAGTTTAGCAGCAGAACACAAGCTCATCGCTTTTAGAAACAGCTTGGCTGGGCACTCTGCTGCCAGCCCACGAGGAGTAGCTGTGCAGGTTGCTCCCCGCTGCCTTTCTGCCGCTTGCCCTCAGCTGAAGGTGACTGATGGCAGGAGCTGAAAGGCAGCGTGCCGAGCCTGGCCACGCAGGGCCCCGGCACTCTGACGGGTGTCCTTGCGGCTAACACTCGGCTACGGGGCAGCAGCAGGGGGGAAGGACATTTTAAGCGGCCATGACCGCATCTGCAGCGAGCAGCTAGCTCCCGCCTCAGGCACCATCTGCTTGAACTTTGATTAGTTTTATTTCGAGCAAAGGCTGCGATGGTTTTGTCTCCGACGAAATGTGGTTTTAGCTTCTGCCTTGCTTGTCTGAATGAACAGACAGCACAGTACTAGATGTCGCCTGAATGTAAATGGTTTACTTCAAACCAAGTGCTCCCCATTAGAATATTTGTTTGTTTGTCTTCCTCATTGTAATAAATTAAAATCCCCTACAACACAGCGGATGTTGATGACTGAATAATAATTAGCACTAATAATCCATTTGGGATTGCGCAGGTGTTATTCTGAAGACAGAAGGAACAAACAAGTTGTTAGGTGAGCTGCAAAACTAATGAAACCCGGGTTTCCAGGGGCTGTGCCTTGCAAGGCTGGTGCACAGACCCAGACTTTCCTGCAGGACGAAGGGATGAGTGGATCCCTCTCTCCTTTGCTAAGTTAAAGCTTGCAGGAAATTGCAGCAACTTGGTATTTTTGAGACTTTCACAACTCTGTTGCGTGTCTCTAGCTTTGGCCAGAAGGATGGAAAGTCGGAAGATAGGCAGAAATGAAAGGTTCAAGGGAAGCCAAGCTAAAAAATAAATAGGGTCTCTTTTCTTTACCCAGCTACCTATTGTCATGAAACTTGTAGGAACAGAATGTCTTTGAGGTGTGCATCTTTTTGTTCACCATATCTGAAATGGGGGACCATCCCGGCAGACACAGGCCATAGGTCTCCTCCCCTGGCTGCAGCCCCAAAAGCATCACTTGGGGTTTTTTTTAAGAATCCAGACTAAAATTACTGCTGTGGGGGTGTTTTTTGTCTGAGTTAACAAACCTTGATTACACTGGTGCAATTATAGATATCTCACAGGTTTAGTCTTCCATGTTTCGCTGTATCTGGAAAGCTGGCACTTTTCTGTGTATAACATGCACTTTTCTGAGGATCCTGCAGACATTTGTAAATACCCAAGTGAGATAAAGAGCAACTTTATCTGATGCCAATGACAGAGTTAAAGCCATGCAGTGTTTTCTGTGGAACATTTTGAGTTAAGCTCTTAATTTATTATACAGTTACAGATTTCTCCCCTAATTAGTAGAGCAGTTAATGATCTTGAGATAAATACTTTCTGGTGCAGGTCAATTGCTGTTAGTGTCTTTGTACAAAAACAATAGAAGCTCTGTAATCACAGGGGTCATGGCTAGAGTTATCAACAAATTTGGGGGTTAGAGTGGGAAAGGGAAAAAAGCAAAAGAGAAAGCTCCTTGTCTTCTTCTGTAATGGCTTTCACCCTAGTATACCAGCTAATTGTTGTTAAGTTTATTAATACAAAAAGCACATGAAAAAGAGAACAAAAAGACAATAGTAGATGAATATGCTAAATATAAGAAGGTGCTGAAAAAAATTACGGAATAATAATTTAAAATCAACAGCAATATATTTTTGCATGCAACTTTGCAAAGGAAATTCAAATTCAAAACTGAGGCCTGGAAATGGATTTTGTTTCCTATTGAAGTACAAAATGATTATAAAATTATCTGTTATAAAATTCCTTACATTTTTTAATTGAAGAAAATCGGGTTCCTTTCCAAAAGTGTCTTCAAGAAGTTCACACGTTAATGAAAAGTCTGCCATCAGCAAGCCAAGCAGTTAAATGAAACTTTTGGCTAAAATTGTTTTTAATTCTTTTCTGATAAGGACCCTTTTAAAGACTGGAGTAGTTCTCACTGAGAGAGTTCAGAGAGAGAATTAGATTGCAAGACTCAGCTTTTTAAAGAATCCTGTACAGACCCAGGTTAAAGCAGGGCTTAGCTGCATCTCATCTAAGCAAGCCATAGCCTCATTCCACTCCTAAAATCAGGGTACCTGGACTCTTCAGAAACACAGAGTCGGGCTACAACAATCATCACTGGATGCTCCTGTGAGTCACTTGTCCTTGTTCCCAAACATCAGAGGTTTCCACTCATCCATTCCCCAGATTAATAGTTTATACATGGACTAGAAAGAGAGAGACCCTGCTCGACTTCTCCCCTTTAACACCAATTAGAAGTAACACAAACTTCCCTTGGGGAGCTTTGACACCATTTTTCTGCTCTGGGGAAGGAGCGGGTTGCAGATGACAGAGCTGCTGTTTGAAGGCAAAAGCGCCGTGGACACTGGAGGCCGAGCGCTCACATTATCTCCTTGGGCAAGCAGTGCAAGCTGCCAGCGCTCGCGGCCACCTCTGCCGCCAAAGTGGGTTCTGAGATCCTCTGCCAGCAGCAACTGCACAGACAACCCTAGCAGCCCTCCTTCCGCCTGAGCAGGGCTGGCCACGAAACTCCCCTCCACCTTGCCACATGAACAAACTCTTTGAGCGGTGGGTGACCTCTCAGATTGTGCAGGAAAGCCACCCTCCACCTGGTAAATAGAAAGAAACCCTCTGAAGTTCTCCTGTTTTCTCACCCAAAGGGCGTTTACATGGAGATTTCAGCTTTACTGGAGGGAATGGGAAGGTATTATTTCGCATACTTAGCTGGTTTAAGGCAAAGCAGTTAGCTGATACAAGTCACATTTCGATTTCTCTAAGTAGCCAGAAATTTCATTTAACTGTGCAGTGTTGCTAGCACCACAGCTCTCCTTAATTCCCTTTTTGTTACCATTTTTGTTTTCCTATTAAAAAGGCAGAAATGGTGTAAGCGAGTGTATCTCCATGGAGCAGGGAGGCTGCAGCAGCGTGCGTCAGTTCACCCACTAGCACAGAGCCACTGGAACAACCACAGGAACAGGGCACCATTTTCAAGTCACAGCAATTTTTTTTTTTCTTTTGCCTGGACACTCACAGCACCACATGTTTTCAGAGAGGCCTTGGATGCCTTGATTACAGAAAAGCTTGCAGATTTTTTTTTTAGTGGTTTTTTTTCCAAAGACTGTTTTTTACTTTTGGAATATGAGCTCATGCAAAGCAACTATTCCAAAGCCTATTAAAGTAATAATTAACTTTGGTGGACTTTGAATCATACCCAAGAACACCAACTAAAACTGGGAATTTATTGCTGTGTTAGTCCCCTCCACACTTCTTGAATGATTCCACTTTGTGCCAGGTATTGCTGCTACTGGAGGTTGCACTTTCTTCTTGACCCTGATTAGTGATCTCCATTTTATATTATTATTTAGAACAGCCTTTTTCCCACTGAGCTCAGCTATTCATTTTACAGCATGTATAAAAATAACTTAATGAGTATTCCTTGTAGCTTGACTACTGTTCAGCTGTAGAAATCTAGAAAATGTTTATTGTGGTCAGCTGTCGCGTGATGCTACAGAAAGTCATCAGCAGAAAAAGCCATTGCAGCACTGTTGTTTCTGTGTGGAAAAAGGAAAGCGTTAGTAAAACACGTCCAGAATATTCAGTTATGCTACGCTAAGGGCTCCAAACTACAGGCTAATAAAAATAATGCACTCATTTGCCATCCAATTAAGATGCTCTTGATATTTTAAAGTAGCATAGTCTCAAACACAGCCCTTCTGATAATTCCCTAACAGAACAGGGTCAGTTGTAAGCAGATCACTCTAACTGAGGCAATTTAATATATGTGCATAAAATTGAAAATAGACAAGATTTATCTCTGCCTAGATGTTAGTATATTACAAACACATCTTTTATTCCTTTGGCTGTGCTTTATAATCAAGAAACCAATAACTTCTTACAGAACAATGTTCTATTGAGGCCTGTTTGTATTATAATGACTTATTTTTCCCTCTGTTTTTTCAGTTCTCGGCACAGTTCAGCATGTTCCAGACCATCAAGGACCAGCTAGAGCAGCGGACCCGGATCCTGCAGGCCAACATCCGATGGCAGCAGGAGGAGCTCCAGAAGATACAGGAGCAGCTCTGCCTGGTCCAGGACTCCAGCGTACAGGTGCGTTACTGCTGGGAGGGGCAGAGCGAAGCATCCTCTCTTGTGTAGCCGTTGATAGGGTCGGCAACTTAAAATCAGCTCCAGGGTCCAGGAATCTGGACATGTGGAAACCAGCTCATCTGAATGAGGATGTTGCCCTCTGAAAGCCTCTTGAGTAACCTATGTCAAGAAAGACTTAAGAGCTCTCTGGCAGAAAAGGGAGAAATAGTTCAACCTTAGGAGGAAGAGAAGAATTTGGGTCATTTACAGTAGCATTTTAATACTTTATCGACTGAGTCCTCAGGTTGAGCAGCTGTAGTAGAGAAGTGTTCAAGTTCAGACTTGCCAATGATTATGTCTCTCCAGTTCATTAGCTTCCATCCAGTCACTGCTTGCTTCATGTTGGCATCACTCATGCTCAGTATCTTGTCTGTCCAGCTCTTCCTTAGCCAACAGCCCTCCTTCAGGCAGTGCTCATCTCTTTCATTCGCTCCCTGTTTTCCTGACCCTACCCCTGCCTGGATACAGAGCACAAGAGATTAATTTCTTTGTCGTGTTAAAACCCCCCAAACCTTTGCTGATGTTCATTTGTTCACACCTGGGGGGTGTCTGAATTTATTCTTCACTGGACCAGTTTAAGCCTTTAGGGTGAAGCTGACTGAGCCTACTCTTCTTCTGCCTTTGATACCTCCCACTCAGAGCTAGAATTCACTAAGTACAGTATCTGCTTTGTACTACCCCTTATGTCCACCAAAGCTCAGAAATAATGGCAAGTGCAGTTCAGTACCTCACAGGCTTCACTTAACGACAGATGGACAAATCATCCAGTTTTATGGAAGTTTTCTAAACGTGGGGTGATTACCGCTATGTTCCTCATAATTTAACTATAAATGCCAGGTTAAATGACCCTTGCTAGAAATGTTGCATTGGGGACCCACTGTGAATATTGTGCTAACGGGATTTTTTTAGAAGACAAGCTCTGTCACAGCAATGAATGTCTCAAAGAACATTTTAAGCACAGGATGAAAACCTGGGACCTGCTGAAGTCAGTGGGAATTTTGCTCCCATCTCCCACAGAAACAGACCCTCACCCATCAGCAGCATCTGCGAAATGCAGTTTCACGTATTAAAACAAATTGGGATTGTATGTTTAGGCAATTAAGGGATCAGTGAAGCCAAAATAGGAACTTTGCCGCCTAAGCTGCTGCATGTGCACTGCTGTAAGACAGCACAGCAACGGTGGGTCCCAAAACCAGGACTCTGTTCCTGGTGCCATATAAGCATATACGTAGACCAGGTTTAACTTCAGTCTATTTCTTCTATTGGTTCTGCGCTGACTTTGATTAATGGGAAGGGAAAGTGTCTCTGCAATTAACTGGCCTTCAGTTCAGAATCACATCATATGTCTGAAAGCTATTATTGTTATGAATATCAAGAAACTTGATATTCTCACTTCCTCTCTTTTTAATTGGGTGAAAACTATTACTCTCTCCTGGTGAAGTCTTCAATAGTCACATACACTCATCCTTTTTTTTCTTTTTTTGCATAATTCAGGCAAAAATAGAAGATCAGAGCACATTCTTATATGCAGGAAATGGATATTTTTACATAGCTGTCTCCCATATGTGCTAGGGCACATTTAATAACCCAAAGACCGTGGGACAGATTCTCAGATACGCTCATAGGGAGCTCAAGCAGAGAGAAGAGGAGGCCCAGTGGGTAAATGGTGGGTAGTTCTGTACTGCCCACCCCATACCAATTTGTAGCTCTGAGTTACACCATTTGTGTGATCCTCTCCCCCATAAAGATGTACCAGGTTGGACCAAATATTTTCAAACCAGTACAAGTTCTCTGGTGTCAGTACTGACCATTTCCCAGCTTACTGCAGATGCCAAACTGAGAGGCAGGAGGACTGGAGGGGAGCTCGGAAAAGCAGGGGCTGCGTCTCTGCCTGATGGGGCAATGCCGGACAGGGAGGATCATCCTCTGTAGTTCGAGTGCCTTTCAGTCTCCTCAGAGCAGTCAAACAAGGCGATGAGATGCGAGGGGTCACACTGACCCATGGCCAGGGCCTTTTCCTTCTCCCACTTTCTCTAGGTTAAAAAAAAAAGACCACAAAGAAATTACAGTGCTGTGGCAAAGTTAGAGTGGGACCAGGACTTAGCTTTGTCTTATTTGGCATGGGGCAACTTAAAAGAAAGCCTCACAATTTTGCATGCAGCACTTCTGTGACTCACAGGCAGCTAGGAGTAAACTGTTAAATCAGAAATCCAACCATGTGCTTTGCCACGCAGATTTCATCATTCAGAGAGCTGGGTGTCTGCAGACATTGATCTCTGTCTATTATCAGAGCTACAAAGCATAGTAGCAAACAAGTGAGCATTACTATCAAGCACATTTCTGGTCTCTCTAATATTCCACGTAGAAGAGCTGTAAGCATGGGGGAGTGCCGTAGGCTGTCTGGAAAGGGGGAAGTGTTCTCCGGTTTTCCCTCGTTAGCTGATTTATTAGCATATCTTCCCCACTGGTTCACTCCCTTCCACACAGAAGTGTACAGGTAGCTCAGTGGAGAATTAAGCCCCATTTCCATTTCCTTCAGAGATCTTCAAAACCGCAGTACGACAGTCCACCAAGAAACGCTTTCCCAACCAGACAGATGTTGAGCACAGTAGTCTGCGTTAGAAACTATTTCCAAGAGCCTTGTGCGATGAAAGACGAAACTAGCAGGAGGGTTGTGGGCCCTGAACAAAAGTGTTCAAAACTCCATTAAATCCCTGTTACTGCTTTTCCTGACAAACGAAAGTATGAAGGACAGGAGCAGCAAGAGTAACCTCAGAAGTCTGAAGGATGCTGTGTCTGCTCCAGATTTGAACAGTCTAGCTAATGAATTGTGGATGGGGAGGAATACAGAAGGGCTGAGCCTGACCAGCCCGCAAGAACTACAAATGAGACCATCCACAGCCCTCCATCATTTGCAAACCAGGCTCCCTTCGAAGGCAATGAATCTCAGCTTCCCAGTGGTGTGCTTCTCATCTTTCCGTATTTTACATAAAGAGTCTTGATGTCTGTAATGATGAGCCCAAAGGCTATAATCCCCTGATTATCCAAAGGACAGGTAGAGTCAAAGAGCCGTTTTTCCTCACGATGTCTTGCCAGTGTGATTCATCCATTAGCTGTAGGGACCATCTATCTCGGAATGAGGGGGCACCAGTGTCAGAGGGTCCCTCCCCTCCCTCGCTGCTTTGCTACGTATGTTAACAAGCTGGCCAATTAAAAAATATTTGTAAGATGCTTCACTGACCTTGCAGTCCGCAAAATCAGCCACAAGACATGTCATTAGCAGCAGTGCAGTTAGGGGGCTGCTAATTTATCTGCTTGGATTTGCTCAGACTGTGAAAGATTTCATTCTTTATTAGGGGGTTTCTGTTGTTATTTAAAGCTGTTGTATTTCAGTGTTTCAAGGGAATTCAGGCAGGACTATCACAAAAGAGGCACATTATGAAAAAACACCATTAAGTTTTGTACAAGTGAAGCATCTTCTTGCTTTTAGGTTTAACTAGCAGGTAGAAATTCCATGCTTTGATCCTCTCTCAGGTTAACTCTTGTTTTGATGAGGCATCTTCAGTCTTCCAGTTCTGCCGGGACACGGGTTAAATAGCACCATTGCTTCCTGCCCCTAGCTTGTTCTTTCCAGGACATCTATCTTCAGAGAGTAATAATGCTGCTTTGGCCATTATAATGCAACAGAGGGTCCCTAGGTATGAAACACTCAGAGTCCTCTCAGGGTACCAACACATGAGCAAACAAAATGGGTTTACTGGGATAAACTTGGTTGTAAGTTTATAGCGTGTTAGCTGCCAACCATTAACTGTGCACGTTCCTACCCAGTGGCACACTCTGGTAATTGCAAAGTAGGTTTCTCCGCTTTTATTCAAGGATAAGCTCCTTGGCCTTCATCTGGAAGTCAAGCATACATACAGGCAGGTCCCTGCAAAGTAAGTCGTTCGCAGCAAGTTTGCACCCTGCCTGATATTTGCATCGATAGACGTTGACTTTGCATTGGATGAACTTAGTATTTCTCCAGCACTGTGCGCCACGTACAGGGAGGACACCTAAGATAATCCTCCTAAAGGTCTTAATTTGCAGTGATCTGGCCAGTACCATTGGGCTCACACTCCCCATCACATTTTTGAAACGCACTACTTGCTTTACCTGTCCTGAATTTTACATCAAATGTTTTACATCAAATTTTTATATGAATGGCGACCAGTTTAATTGCTAGAGCAAATCAAGTGAGTTCATTTGCTAAACATATCCAAAGCTTAGTTTCTATATACAGAAAATAAACAAGAAAATGAATTTTCATAATTTCTGTGTTTGATTTATTCATAATAAGACCTATTTGCTTGGCAGAAGTTGTGAGACCATCTGTCTTTCTGATACGTAATGGCTCCAAATTCAGTGAGCAGTGTTTTTAAAAGAAAACACTTGGAGCTAGTTTCAGACCTGCTGCGAGCAGCCCCAACTCTATTACTTGACCCATTTATTTCTGTCAGACATCTTCGAGATGTGGTTAGCCTACAGCACCTGAAACAAGCCGTTGCTTTAGGTCCCTTAACATTTTCCTTAATTGCCCCCCTCTCCCGGCTAATTAATGTAAGCTTTGTCTGTACCTTTTTTCTGAGTAAAATCTTGGCATGCAGAAATTCATTAAAAATTTATCATATTTAAATAAAACCTGTGTTTTAAAAGCTAGATAAATAAGTACAAACATGATGGATCAACCCACACTTATGCAAAGAAAAGCAATGCATTGTGCTGGTCCTTTGGAGAAAGGTATGGGTTTTTTCCAAGAAAAATTAGAGGGGACATGATAGTTTAGGGAATTGTTAATATAGCAATAAGCTGCAGAAAGGTGTACTAATTACTGGGCGTACCTCAGACGTACGGCTAGGCGTGAGACTGATGGATGAATAATGAAGAAGAGAATAATTGTGAGTCTGATTTCATTTAAGCCCTAAGTAGCTCTGCTTAAATTAATGGAGTTCCACACGTGTAGCAGTGGCGTGGAATCAGAATCAGATCCAAAAATGCCTTCAACTACGTGGGATGTGTACTTCCATACAGTCCTTGGTGGCAAGAGGCGAGGTTCGAAATATTGCAAAGATAGCTTGTAGCATTAATAATTCATAGTTTTAAAATATGCCTTTTTCCTCTGTATAGCTGTAATAGAAGAAATGGCCCCTAGAAAAGCAAAAATTCCCAAGCCCTACAACTTTTAAAGAAGAAAGCCTCATGTTGCAATGCAAGAATGGAGAGTGTATCATTTACAGAAACACTAACAGAGGAGCTGCTAGCTCTTTTGCACAAGTCAAATGCATGGCACAGTTAGGAAGAACACCGGGTGTCGGTTACCTGATGGGAAATCAGATAAACGACAGTGACTGTCTGTTTACACATCTTCTCAATGATAAGGACACAGCTATTCAACACGGAGAGCTCTGGCCTGACTGTGGCCTCATTAAAAATGTTCAACAATCCAACTGTATGTAAGGTGTTGAATTTCCAGAGACAAATTCAAAAGCAGCCCTGTCTGAAAGGCAGGCTGGTTTTGTTGAAAGAAGAAATGAAAGGACTGAAAAGACACAGAGTCACTCTCTTCTCTCTGGTCAGGGTGCCCCAGAACGCAGTGAATGTACAGGGAACCGCTCTTACAAGGGCTGTGCCTGCCCCACGGAGAGAGGACTTCTACCTTCAGGACACATTTCGCAAGTAATGAGCGCACCTGCAGAACAAGAAATCAAGAAACTAGAGACAGCGGAACTGTTAATGTAGGAAAGAGAGGTGATTTCCAACTAAAGTAAATGCATAGTGAATCCAGAAACATGATAACTTTATTTTAGAATATATTTGGATCTAACTGTCACCTTCATTATCCAAGACAGCTGGATATAACTCTCTGGACATAAACTCTCCCGCCTTCTTTTCCAGATGTTCCTACAACAGCCAACAGTGTCCCTGAGCTTTAGCAATACTCAGCAGCCGGAGCCACAACAGCTACAGCAGAGGTCAGGGGCCATTTCCCAGCAGCAGCTTGTCCCCAGTCCTCAACTTCAAGGGCAAATTGCATCTTCGCAAACAGCGAACCAGCAAGCACTGAGAGAAGCAAGCGTGATATCGAGCCAGGTAATCATTTCTTTGAATAGAGAAGCATTTATATGGAAAGAAGACACCGAGCTGTTATTAAGCAAGCAAGTAAAAATCATGTCAGCCCTGTAAGTGCGCCTTTGCCTTTCTTTCCCTATTCTCCTATATAAGGGCAGCCTATATAAAGGGTCTCTCTACAGCATTTACTTTAAATCCCTTTTTTAAGACCTCAGCCAGGAGGGTTACTTGAGCAGCTGTTTCAGCTTGAAAACTGAGCAGGGGGAGTCATGCAAAAGGTGTGGATGACTTACCGTTCTTCAGCTGATCCTGAAAGAAACCTGACTGACCACACTGGAAACTAGCAATAGTAGTGTTGGCAGTGGGACATCTCAAAACAAGCTTTACCCCTGCTTGCTCCCTGAATCCAGTTGGATGCCACCAACGCAGCGGAGCCTGTCCGCTGTGGTGGCACACAGTGGGAATACATTGCGATCTGTGCAAGACCCCCAGGCTGTGAGCGTAACAGATTCCTGCACAGGGAAATGAAGTTCAGCCTTGGTTAGTAGTAACCGGGATCTGTGAAAGCTAGTAGGTTTGGCACGGGATTTTTTTCTTATCGCTGGTTTCTCGGCATTTCCAGCGTTTGCGCTTCCACCCACCTGTTGTACCTCCCTTCACAGAAAACTTAGCTCCTATTTCTGCTACCTGAGTGTGCGGCAAACATAGCTGCGTCATTATCTCCAGACCCCTCAGCTGTAGCTTTTACCCTCCTCCCTACCTGTATTATAATGACTTTATTAAAATAAAAAGCGTATCCGTATTATAAATAGAAAAAACCCACCATTTTTTTCCTTTCATAAGGTTAATTCCCATCGTTGGGCTTTAGGGCAGCGCTCATCACACCTAACTTTGCTCGTGTCTTCACGGGGTTGTCTCCTCAACTGCTTGACGGCACGACCGGGGGGGTGTTGCTTTCACACCGCTCCGGTCCCCAGGCTTTTGCAGGCCGGTAGAGCAAACCGGGGGGCGGCAGCGGGTGCGAAAGCCGCGGCAGGCTGGAGGAAAGCCGTCGCCCCCCCCCGCTCCGAGCCGTGCCCCAGTGTCGCTGTCCGCCCCGTCTTCTCTTTGCAGGGCCCCAAGGCTGCGAGGAGCGCGGAGCTGGCAGCGGGCGGCGGCCGCCCCCCCCGCGGCGCGCCCCCGCCCTTCGCCGCAGCCCCC